CGCCCCGATAAGCGGGGCCACATCGAGTCTGCTGATATCTCAGAAGAGAAGCGAGAGATTTATTCAAATAGGAATGAAAATACCTGTGGCTGTGTTCCAGCACTGAGGTTGGCGAGGTATGAAGGGCTTTACTCAGATTCTCGTAAACCATCTGTTTCATCCCATAAGCAGTTGAAATTGAAGTTGCTGTAAAAGCTGTTTCCATTTTATGGGATTATCAGCTGCGCCGGGTTGATGACCTGTTACAAGGCCATTAGAGCGTGAACTCATGTTGGCTCCACTGTGGAAAATGGCCTTCTGCTTTATGGAGACTGTGCATTCAACCCTGTGACAAACACAAACATGGACAACATTCTACTTTTGTGATCAATTTCAGTATATTTGGAACTACTTTGCATGCAGGTTTGAGATGTTCATGTGAGTTTTTCTGTTAACCAAACGGAGAACAAGCCTCTCATTCAGACCTCTGCTGTACATTAAAGCTGGTAAACTCCACATGACAGATCCAGATATTTGCATTTTTGAGGATGAAGGACTCCTTTGTAGCTGCACTTCCTACAGACTAAATTAAAGCATCTGTGATTTACCGTTCAATGTTGCAGCCCGAGCTTGTGATTTCACCAGAATTACAAAATTGAACGTGTGAGTTGTATTTCGCCATATGAAAAGATTTGGTTTTAAGTATGATTGATTTCGCCATTCAACTCACCCCGTTGCTGCAGTAACGTGGTCACAGCAATGTGCAATCTGTCCCGTTGGAACCAGTAAATGTGTGAAATCAACCACAAACTTGGATCAAGTCTCTGAAAAGCTGCATCATTTTGAACAAATCTGGTTCCTTTCTGATTGTGAGAGATTCTTTGCATCGGTGGGTAAAAAAAGTTATTTTTGTGACCCATTTTCTTACAAATTCATGAGACAAAAAAAGCCAATTTGTTCGTTCATTTACATCTCTAATCATTTTAACTGCCATGGTTGAATAGCTTAAGCGGGCGTTTTGAACATCATTTTATACAAACACTATTTATCTATTCGGTTAAACAACAGAATGCAAGCTAGTCTTCTCTTTGGACTTAATGTAGGTGGGGCGACAAATGTCAAATCACCACAAACACGTAAGCTCCCTCATGTGGCTCAAAGGTGCACTGCAGTTAAATATGAGTGAGTAGAGAAAGGTCCTGCTACTCGCCTGTAGATCGATAGGAAGAACTTTGTACCAAGTGAGGAAAAAAAGTGCTGTTGTTTTTGGCGTTAATTGATTGATCGGAGTCTTTGATCGAGGGGGGAAGAGGAAGCACTTGCGTCTGCTCTGCTGCTGCTAACGACGCCCTCACTTGGCACTTTAGCTCAACACCAACAGAGCAGCTTTGTGCTAAATGGGAGGCCTGGAACCTCACCTGGTCTCACACACGCACACACACACACACACACACACACACACACACATTCTCTGGTTTAATCCCCGGGCTGTGTGGTCTCTGCGATACACCCAGAACTTCCTGCTTTTCAATGCAACACACGTCACCTCGGCGCTGTCCGTGGAACACCGTGAGCCTCTGCAGGAAAAGGATGGGAGGCATCTTGTTTCGTCCCTGGACTCGGATGTACCCAAACTCACAGTCCTGAGGGGAACATGTGGCGTTCCACAATCCGCCTCTTTGTAAGTAAACAAGTGTTGATCGACTGAAATCCGTAACATGTTACAATGTCACAAGGAGGCTTTCATGTTCAAACATTCAAAGTATGCTCACCATACAGCCACAAAACTATGATTTCAATTAAATCCAAAGCAGCCATTAGATTAAATCACATTTTTGTCAAAAGCAAGTCCTTGTTGTCTGGTCATCCAATTGTTAGCAGATGCTTTCCTCCTGTTGCATTCAGGGGCGCTCGGACATTTAATATGCATGCCTAGCGAAGATTAGACTCCCTTTGCTCGGTCTCTCATTAGATGTGACAGCTCATTACAAACTGCTGTGGACTAACAGCCACTTAGAGATGTCCATCATCTCCACTTTATTAGGACCTTCTTTCTGATTTAAGCGTTAAACCTACAAAACCCAAGCTCAACATCGTGAACCATATTAAAAGAATGCCGCTGTTTCCATCAGTAAGACTGGACCCGGGAGGTGGTGTGTGTGTGTGTGTGTGTACACATGTTGTGTTTACCAGAAGGATCTGTCTCTTCTTCTTCTCTCCTCTACCTCCTCAGGTAAACAGATGATACCAGTTTCACCTTGTCTGGCCTGATATTAAACACAGCACTTTTGTCGTGTGCTCTCATTTTTTTTTACCAGGAAGCTCTTACCTTTTTTTTTCTTGCTGTTGTGAAATAGCGATGCTTGTGTCTCTGTGTTTCAAGTGGCGGTGGGGTGAGAGGAGGGTACTGAACTCTCTGCTGTTCACGCCGGTCATAACAATGTGTCCCACAGGGAGTCTCTGGGTCAGAGAGAGAGAGTCGCTGACACATTGTGTGTGTGTGTGAGAGAGAGAGTGTGCGGCCTGTACTGTGATTAAGTATGATGTCACTGAGTGTCTGCATCAATACCACAAAGCTAAACTCCCCTCGGTGTGTTTTACTGACAAATCCTTCCCAAGAAAAGGGAGTTCACCCAGCCGGAGCCCGGGCGATTGCTCGGGGCCTCGGGGCCTCGGGGCCTGAGACCCATGGCGGCGCCGTGCGCTGCGTCCGTGCACCTTGGAGCTGTTACTGCGAGCGCCGCAGCTGTAGGACACGCGTGGGGATCTCCGGAGCCTTGCTCGGGTTCCCCCTGCCCCGTTCCAGCGCAGGTGCTGCTCCGTCTCGGCCGAGGCCGATCGCTCTGGGAGGTCACGCCCCGACCCAAATTACTCCCAAGTAATTCCGGTCAGGACGTTTTGCGTTTACTCGACATCTCAAGACTGTTTGATGAGAACGTTGAGAAATCATCCGTTTCTTCACATCTCCTCAACGTGATCGGCTGCTTACAAATATGTCGGCGAGACAACGTCTGGCACGGGATGTTGTCCCGGTTTCCATGGCGATCGGCGCAGCTGTTAAGTCTCCGACCCCAGTGGAGGAACATCTGCAGTGATGTCACTTTTGGGCAGAGTGAGTGTGGGAATGTTGGCCCACACACTCGGGCAGGACTGTGCAGCGAGAGGGAGTAATGACTGGTAATCCTCTGGTGTGCTGGTCTCTGCTTCATCCCAACAACGTCACTTTTTTTGGGGCTCAACTGGGACTCTGAAAATCGAGAAACTGCGACGTCCTGTCAGCACAAAACTTTCACAGCCACATGGAGCTTCCCCAAAAAACACTGCTCAGAAAATCTCGCACTGCATTTTAGAGTGAATGAGGGGAAACCGAGCTTCAGGAAATTCAACTGACTGTGCAGTTTTTACACTTTTATGACCGGAAAGACGAGCAGGAGGAAGAGATCTGCGGCGGCTGTTTGCACGATCCCAACAAATGTAATCAGATTGAAACCATCAGTGTAACGCACTGAATTACCAGGTGGCCCTGACAAGTACAATCCTGTGTTTCTTCTTCAAAGTATCCCATAGATGGTGTTGAACTGGAAGTTACACGACAGCACGATGTGGCTTGGGCGTCATTGTTATTTTTTAATTGCCGCTGTCGGGGTTTCAATCCAATTAACGCTCTGGGAAAGAAGTGTGCCTCTCGCCCCGCAAGGGGCCCCACACACACACACACACACACACACACACACACACACTGCACTCATGGGAGTCCTACTGTTTCCACTCTGTGTCTCTTTTTGTATTCGTCCCCCGTTCACACACACACACACACACACACACGCACAACTCACTTACAGGAGCTGCATGCGCAGCGCGCGTGTATTAGTCTAAGCTAATGGCGACCAGATGCCAGCCGCTGTGCCCCGCTGCCCACGCGCTCTAAATGAACAGACGATTGTTCCAGGTTTCCTCTCGCTGAGGAGAACCAGGTGCAGATGGGACTGAGTGAGTGTGTGTCAGACAGTAGGTGGGCATTCAATAAGAGGAACGCTGAAGGACTTGGTGTGTGTGTGTGTGTGTGTGTGTGTGTGCGTGTTCAGCCATGTGCACGGTTTTGACATGAGCCTGCGCTTCAGATGGAAGCTTCTCTTCACCCTCCCGGCCAACTTTATGGGGTGAATCTTACATGTCAAACTTCAAAATGTCCAAAGGTCAAAGCGAGCTGGAACCTCTCAGGACGTCTTCTCGTGGTCCAGAGGGCTCACGGAGCTGTGAACGCTGCTTTGGAACGAATATATCAGAATCAGGATCAAATGAAAAATAATAATCTACTCAGTTTATTTACTTTGATAGATTAGTCTTCAGTCAGGAAATGAAAAGACGGACTGTAAGGCGACTTCACCCCCCCACACTGTCTGTGCTGTGGAATGCTGTAATTTATAGTGTAACAAATCTTCTGGATTAACCCAGCGGGGGGGGGGGGGGGGCGCAGGGCGAAAATGAGGCGCAGGTCGAGCGCCGCCTGTCAAGTATCCGTCAAACGGCACACCTCACGTGGTCTCGTTGGACTCGGATGCCAGCGGACGTTCTTACTGCTCAGGTGTGCATTCTAACACAAACTCACAAAGGAAGGTGTCCCAGCAAAAGTGAACGGCAAACGCCATTAGCTTGAGGTAACCGTGAACCGATGGAAGGGCTTTTAGTTGTGTGACGGCATCTCAAATAAAGTTCCCCTTTCCACGTTTCTTTTATTTTGAAATGAAAGGACTTTCACCTTTTTGGGAGGAAGGCCGATTGGCGGCCGTGGCTGCAGGTGCTGCCAGGCACTGGGATGAAAACATCTTTTGGCTCCAGCAAATGCATGAAAACGCTTCAATCTGCCCCAGCGGCGTTCGGTCTGCCACCACGTCGTTTCCACGTGGCCGTATGGCGGCAATCAGTCTCCACCTGCCTCCCTGTTTGACGGCGGTTAGGCGTCAGCAGCCCAGCGATGCAACACTGATCCCGTGTCCCTCTTGTCTTTTTTTTCCCGGCAGATCGCTCTCCTCTGGCAGCCTTGGACCTGACGGAGTTGATCGGCGTCCCCCTCCCGCCCTCCGTCTCCTTCGTCACGGGCTTCGAGGGTTACCCCGCCTACAGCTTCGGCCCTGACGCCAACGTGGGCCGCCTCACAAAGTCCTTCATCCCCGACCCGTTCTATCGGGACTTCGCCATCACGGTCACGGCCAAGCCGACCACGCGGCGCGGAGGGGTGCTGTTCGCCATCACCGACGCTTACCAAAAGGTCGTCACCTTTTCTGAAGCGCCAAACTTGAATCGTGAAAACGGGAAATATAACAATGGGGTATTTTCTGTTAGATTGTGCACTTAGGTATCGCGTTGTCCGAGGTGGAAGATGCTTCCCAGAGGGTCATATTGTACTACACCGACCCAGGAGCCAGAGGGGGCACCCAGGAGGCGGCCTCCTTCAAAATGGGGGCCCTGACGGGGAGATGGGCGCGGTTCACCCTGACCGTGCAGGGGGCGGAGGTGGGCTTGGACGTCTCAGCATGTGCGACCGCAGAGGTGAAGGGGATGTAACGTTGATCTTTCGCTGCCCTTCGTCGCTCAGGTGCGCCTCTACATGGACTGCGAGGAGTACCACCGAGTGGCCCTCAACAGGAGCCCGCGGCCTCTCGCCTTCGAGGCCCGCTCGGGGGTCTTCGTGGGGAACGCTGGGGGCACGGGCCTGGCGCCGTTCGTGGTGAGTCTGGAGTTCACGCGGTCATCTTCTGCCGCTGGTCGTTCCTCGATCCCGGAAGTCGGGAGCGGGTTTGGATCAGCGGGCTGAAGAGAGACGTCCGATTCGCTCAGGGATTTAATTGAAAAGAGTGTAATGGAACAATAGTACCGGTCATAAGGTTGTAGGTTCCAACCTCATGCATTTGATGATATCCATGTGTGGCCGTGATGACGGATGCAGAGGTGCTAACTTGTGCATTCTGCTCTCAGTGCTCTTGTAAATGAAATAACAGCAGTAGTACATTTCACATTTTTACAAGGAATATAACATTTTAATAGAGCTTTGCACCGGCATCTTTTTTTTTAATAAATCAACTCATGGCTGGAGGCTAAAATTGAAAGAATGCACGAGTTAAACAAAAGCCGTGGTTCCGTCATGCTGCAGTGCAGCCTTCGTCCTCTTCCTCCCCTCTGATAGTCAGTTACACTTACCTTCAAACTACAAGAAGTTTCCGTTTCCTGGACTGTCGGAAAGAATTCCTTTTTCGTTTTTTCACCTCGTTAGTGTTGTAGGACTAAGCTGAGGAGAGATTCAAAGAAATCCAATTAGCCAAGAAAAGGGAACTTTGGTTTTATGTGTATGAAAGATGTTTCTCATCTAAAAACAACTCTGACTGGTGTGTATTTACATCATTAAGACTTAAACCAATTCCCTCTGACATCATTTCAAATCATATCACGCGTATTCTTTACCAGCAGAAGGGACCCATTGATGTTAACAGTCATGTTTTAATTGGTCATCTTTTATTTATCATGGGTTGATATCTTTTGTTTTGACTGTAGAGGATTATTTTTACTGAATTTATATTGGCTTGGTGGGGAAGCAGTGACCCCTGACCTTTAATACAGGAAGTGAATTTAATATGTTTTCGATTAAATTGGAATTGTCATTTCATCCCACGAGTCTATTGACACTTTGTGGAAGACCTTCAGGCAACAAAATCATATCGAAATGACTGATTTGTATATAATAAAACCTTCTGCACATTTGTAAAGACCTTATGGTTATATATCATTTCGTGATTTTACTGGATTGAGAGATGGACTTTGTGCAGCAAAGGGCCCCAGCTTGGATCATAACACGCTGGAAGCTTTTACTGTTTGGCAGAAATCCCATCTATGGCCATCACACGCTGTGTGACATCACCCACAGGCCTCTTCTCTCCCATCTCACGCTAAATAGAAACCATCTCCCTCTTCCCTCCCCCTCATTCCTCCCCTCAGACCAAGAGGACTGTCGGTTTGCAGCTGTTCTCAGTGTTTAAACTGGCAGCTCCGTCTGACATCTTCCATCTCCTCCCAGGGAGCAGCCACGCTGCAGCAGTAGCTCTCTGCAGCAGCACGCACACGCACACGCTAGCAAATATCTGCTCCCACACTGACTTATTCACTTCAGTTTCCCTGAAACACACCCCGTGTGTGGCGGACGCCGTCTGCCAGTGTCTGAGCGTTGTGCGGATCAGAAAGGTCGACTCCTCTGATGTTCTGAGACAACTGAGCGATGCGGTTTCGGTCCAAGCTGTGCCGCGTGCGCGCTGAATACCCCTTGGCGCGGATTCAAGCCGATCCGGAGCTGAAGGAATGCTTTTTGGCGTGATTCACTGAACGTTGACGCGACACTGACCGCTGCAGACTTTCACAGCGGCATTTGTTCGAACTCAATGCTCCTGTAGGTGTGTGAATGGTAGTTTGTGGTGATGGAAAAGATGTGACTGCTGGCACCTTGTGGCAACAAGAGTCTCTCACATGTCGGATAAAACGTTGTGTCATGTAACTCAAGCTCGTGCCTCTGTTGCTTTGGCAGACGAGACTTTCCTAAACACGCCGACTGTCGGTAACTACGGGCGGGAAACAGAACCTTAGAAGCACTTAACCTTTTTCTTCACCGTGGGAATACGAGTGTGAGGTCACTGACCGCAGGACATACGCAGATAATCCTCATCCGCTTCTCACACAAAGGCCTGCGTGCCGACCTGTGATGCACACCGCACATACTCAGGCTTTAGGAGTATTCTTTGAAGAGGCATACAGCACATTTGGATCACGCGTCTTACGTAACCGAGTTTACCATTTAATTAAGGAACAATGACAACACGATAAATGTATTATTTAGCGTTTGTCGAAGGTCAGACCTCACGTGTGAGCGAGCGTTAGACCTCCTGTTGACCTTTACGTGACCTTTTACTTTCAGACGTGTGGTTCAGCTTGGCTGTGTTGATCTCGGCAGGTCTTTGGTGATGGAGCCGGCACATCGACTCTCAGATCAGATCAGAATTCTCACCCTTGAAATGTTTGTTTTTGTTACGCGTTTATTTTCTCAAGATGGATTTTTTTTTTCTGGGTCAATAAATAACAGCAACATGGATTTTGATCACATAAAAGAGCAGCGATGTCCCTCGTGAAAACCAGGAAAAAGAAAAGCAGCAAGAAAATGATTCAATTTGAAAATGACATTTTTAGACCCTAAAGCGTGATGTAATACATTTTACAGAGACACCTGTTCCAGATGTGTGAGCGTGTGCACATGTGTTGGATGGTGCGCGGGAAATCTCTGAGCTTTAATAAGCTTTAATGACACGGACAGAACTGAAATTACGACTCAACACTTCTGTCTCCAGGGTTCCATCCAGCAGCTGGTGCTCAAGTCAGATCCCACGGCCCCCGATGACCAGTGTGAGGAGGACGATCCCTATGTGAGCGCACACACACAAACACACACACACACACACACACACACACACACACACACTCCTGTTGCCCAAACAGGTTCAACATGGATGGATGTCTCCCTCTCCTGGTAGAAAAAGTGCTTTACACTAAACCATGCGGACAGAAGTGTGTATTTAAATAGCTACACTATACAGTTGGATTTTATACAATTTTGTGCATCCAACAATTCCATTTTAATATTGTTTCACAGCCTCAAATCAAACATTTTTCACAGGAACCTTTTAACTAGGAGAAAAAAAGAAAAAAAGTATAATCAGGAATATGAGAATATGTATTACACACTGTCCCATCCGATGGTACTGCTCATACTGCTGTACACTGTCTTCTTTTGCTTGTGATCCCGATCAGCAGCTTCCTGTTTTTGGGGACAGAATTGTACTTATACATTATAGTATGTACAGTATAATCAGTGTCTTCACAGAAACAATGGGAATCAAAGCACTTGTTATCCTACTGATTTCAATATTCTCCTCCTGCAACTGAACCTGGAATCACACCCATCCCCTAAAAAGCGTCTAAACCTTTCTGTCTTTCTCCACGTTGCTCTCCTTCTCCCTCCAGGCCTCTGGGTTCGGGAGCGGTGACGGCGCCTATGAAGACATCGAGGGAATGGACGAAGTGAAGAAGGTTGTGGAGGAGATAGAGTACACCACGGTGACTGCACACACACACACACACACACACACACACACACACACACGTTATCTGTGTCCGTCCCATTGAGCCGGGTTGGACTCGGACCAAAGCAAACAGCTCTTATCCTCGCTGGCTTGGTGGAGACTGGAACGTGTTTGTATGTGCTGCTCGCTGCCAGCTCTTGGCTCTCGGAAGAAGGAGAAGGAGAAGAATGCGTCGGGCGAAGGAAGAGAGGCGTTGGAAAGAGTCTTACATTGTTTTACATTAAGAGAGATTCCACGTTTTCGGCAGCTTGTCCTTTGTCCTTCTTGCTTCGAGCTGTGAGACAGATTGTCACAACCACACGGTCCAGCTGAGCAGATTTCATTTCATTATTCTTCTAGTTTTTTTAAAAGAAGATACGGCTGAATAAGGGGTTTTATTCCACTCATTCCCCGCCTGTGTAGAGAAACGTGCCAATCACTGCTTTGCTTGTATGAGTGGAATTCAGGATATGAAAGTCAGCCATACTGAAAAAAAATGTCCAAGAAGAAGTGAGATTATCAGGCTTTATAATAATACAATTGTAATTATGTTATTATCGTTTGGAATGTGGTTGTGACTGTAGTATGCATTACAATATAACTACATTTTTTATCGTATTGTTAAAATATCATAGTGGTATGAAGATATCTGCAGAAAGCCAGTTAATAAATGATTAATTTAAGGATAAAAACAGCTCCGTAACCTTCTCATTCTCTGGATGGCTTTTACATTAAACAACGTGCTGAATGACATGTCGTTTTTTCAGGACCCCATTTACAGCACGCCGGTCCAAGCTCCGCCCACTGAGATGTGGCAAGGTGGTGGTGATGATGATGAAGACGTAGACACAGAGGAGCCCTCTGGACAGGAAGTGGAGACGACCACAGCAACTGGTAAACAACAACAACCCCTTTAAATTGTAGTATTTTTGTAAACGTGCCTTTGACGGCAAAACACGATAAGAGATAAGATGAGACTTCCTCTGTCACATACATGTACACACGCATGTATTTCACATGTGTGTGCTGACATGGAACTCATGCTGTAATGGACACGGCCTGTCTTTCCAAAAGTAACCAGCAGATGGTGCTAGAAGAGTATTATTCTCTTCTGCAATTTAAGTCAGATATTATATCTAAATAGATTATAGAATATTAATATATATATATGTGTGTGTGTGTTCATGTGCTCATGTTTTGTCTTTGGTACAGTGCTGAATCCCCCTGACTCTGCATTTGACACCGTAAGTTGAGATTTCCTTCATGAGTGAGATGATGTTAAAGATTAAAGAATACATGTATTTGTGGTTTTGTTTATTAAAGTGAACCGACACTAATCATTCATTGCTTTAATCAGCATGCAATTAGAACAGTTATCGTTTAGATTTGCTATAAATGTATACAAACTCTCGATAGTGTCTTCAACCTTCAGCCCCTCCAGGTGTCTCCAGGAACAAAGGGGGAGCGAGGGGAGAGAGGAGAGCCAGGTCCGTCCGGTCCTCCAGGACCCCCCGGCCTTCCAGGCCAGGCCTCAGGAGATGTGGAGGGAGGGGAGCCAGGCCCCCGCGGCCCACAAGGACCACGTGGAGCTTCAGGTCCACCTGGGGTACCTGGGAAAGATGGAAAGCCTGTGAGTTTTATCTTTGTTTTATCTGCAATATCCAAAACAACTACTCCCAATATGTCTTTCTAATTTAAGAACATCATACGAATGATCAGCACGTTTCTTTTGTGTGTGTCAGTCCGACAAGTCAAAAGATAAAATGATGGATTTTTTTTCTATTTCTGTCTTTTCTCCAGGGGAGCAAAGGTGAAATTGGTGACACAGTAAGTGAAGTCTTTCTCATGAATTCTTTTTTTTTTTTTCTGGCGTAAACCGATAAAGGAAAAAGGAATTTCTAAATTCTTTCCATCCCCGCTTTGACTTCTTACAACTTGAGAAAACGTGCTCTCTGGTATGGTGAGAGCTCACGTAGTGTTCAGCTCAGCTGTAACTGTCTTCTTCCCAGGGACCAACAGGGATTCCAGGATTCCCAGGACTAGCTGGAGAGCCGGGTCCCGTGGGAGACAAGGTAAACAACACCCCCTCTTTAATAGCATTATACCCGGACTTGAACATGAACAGAATGGAGGTATATATAAGACACTCCATTGATGTCTGAATAGTATAAATCAGTAGTGAATCATTGAATGGCCAAATAAATGAGCACATCCAATGTCTCCTTCAGGGGGATCCTGGGATTGGGCTACCAGGCCCACCCGGCCCCCCTGGACCTGCAGGTCGACTGAGCAAGTCTTCCATATTAGTGGTACGTTATCAAACCATTTTTTCACAACCATTTTCTTCTGGGGATAAAAAGTCTAAATTCCTCATGTTGCAAAAGTTCTGTCTGTTAGTTTCCAGGTGCAACAGTCTGAACTGAGTCATATGTCATGTGTCCTTTAGGAGGGGTCAGGGTTTGTGGACTTTGACGGTGATGCAGAGTTTGACAGTGATGCAGAGTTTATCAGGGTAGGCAAACTCTGTTTCCCCTCTCTCTGACATTCCTAAATCCCTTTTCATGTGTGTTACCCTTCTTATCTCATGACCTCTGACTCCAGTGCGACTCGTTTGTCATCATGCATTTTAAAACCTTCCCCTTAGTGTCACTCAGACATGTCGTCTTGTTTGCTCAGGGGCCTCCAGGGCCTCCTGGACTCCCGGGAAAGCCAGGGCCCCCGGGTACGGCATCGGAAGACTTCTTCCCTGGACCCCCTGGGATCCCTGGTAAAGATGGGAAGGATGGCGAGAACGGTCAACCTGGACGGCCTGTAAGTTAAAAAGGATTTTCCTTTTTCCAATATTTCATCATAAAGAGACAGACACAATCCTCCATAATGTGCACTCTTCTGTGATGTATCATCCATTTGTCCTTCAGTAAAGTCAAAGGTGCAAGATAAACAGAACTTCACAAACTGAGACTCCAGCGCTCCAAAACATCTGACCCGACTTCTGTTTTCAGGTGGTTGAGGATTGGTTTAGTGGTTCTGGGTCTGGTTCTGGTTCTGGTTCTGGTTCTGGTTCTGAGTCTGGTCAGGTATTAACAATTGGTCCCATCAGATCCAAGGGACTGGAAAGACAGTATTTCCCCCAACTCCATTTAAAAAACCATGTTCATTATTGCTTTCCTGCCATTGCTTGCCGCACAGTATTGATACAAACACACTGTGTGTGTGTGTGTGTGTGTGTGTGTGTGTGGTGTTGACGCTCAAGTTCCCAATAAATCATGTCCCCTTCCAATCCTCAAGCCACAGTAGCGGCGCTTTGGCAGAGAACATGGTCTGAGCTGCAGCTTCCGTTGGGGGAAATGTGTCTTTTGTTGCCAGAAGCTTCTGCGAACTGTGTGAATGTGCAGCATTCAAGATTAAAGCATAAAAGGTTCTTCCACTTCAGTCTGTTGGTGCATCAGCTTTAATGTCTGAGAACGTCTTCTCATTTTAACCAGCTTACTTACAACTTGGTTCAAAATGATGAATAGACCAACAACACAATAATCCATAACACACAGATCCGTCTCACATCTGGAATAAATAGATATGCATCTAAAATCTGGTCTCCCTCTTGCAGGGAGTTGATGGAAAAGATGGAGATCCAGGATCTGCTGGGGCGAAAGGAGACACGGTGAGGCTAATGAACATTTGCTCACGACGTAGAATAGCTCATCTGAGCGCGTTCTACCCGTGGACTGCGATGCATTAACCCGCTCAGTGGAGTCTAAACAGCCTCTCATGAGGGCGCGCTGCACCACGCCGCCTCGCTCTGATTTCCCTCGAGCGGCGCCCCAGCGCTTTGTTAGCAAAAACAATTACACATGAACCGGATCACCTCCGAACACAAAGAGCAGAGCTGCTAATGAGGTGGACCCTGTGGACTAATGAAGCTCTGGGGCTCCAGTGTAAACAATAGCTGGTTTGCTGGTGAGTTTAATGTATTCTGTCTGTTTTCAGGGAGAGCCTGGTGCAAGTGGGCCAGCGGGAGCAAAGGTAAAATCTGGATTACGTCATCCGTTATCTCACGTTATCTCTCGCTGCGATGCTTCTTTGCATTGTACCGTGAACTCTACTTTATATTTACTCATTCTAAACGCATGTCTTGCAGGGAGATCAGGGGCCTCCAGGGTTTCCAGGTCTGCCAGGCTCAGACGGTCCAGAAGGGCATCCTGGTCCCAGGGGTCCATCTGGCCCACCCGGGCCTCCGGGTCCTCCGGGGCGAGGCCTCAGCATGGACTTTGACGTACGGCCTTGTTTTCGAAAATGACTTAACCATACAGTTTTCAATGTGGTCAAACAGTATTTAACCATTGTATAAAATATATCAAATACAATCAATCAGATACTAACAAAAAGTAAAGGTGTCGCCTGATTTTAATCATATTTATTTTTAAGGAAAAAGATTAAAACCTCACAATTTCTCACTGTTTTTCAGGACTTGGAAGGACCCGAGATGCAGAGTGGTTTTGGAGCTACAGCTACGCTGTCCAGAGGCCCACAGGTACAACTCTCTCACATATTATCCCTCAACACAGCATCGTTTCCTCAGACCGTCACCTGTAACCCGTAACTTACGTATTTGTTGCACAGGGTTCTCCTGGAATCCCTGGACTTGAAGGACCCAAGGTGAGATGTTTACCTGTCCGTGATACTCTTCAGATTGTGCTCTGAAAGCTGTCGTATGCTTAATCTTCGGGGTTGGGGTTATAGTTGGAGAAAAGGAACTCTCTATGTGACCTACACACCTGACCTGTATGCATGCATAAACTATGTTTCTCCCTCTTTGCCTCTCATAGGGAAACGAGGGCTCAGCCGGCTCCCCGGGAAAGCCGGGGCAAAAGGTGAGTCCGCGTTGGATGGCGTGAGGTAGGCGGACATCACTCCTTTGGGTTGTCCTCTCTGCTTGGTAACATGGAGCTCAGGGAAATGAAAGAAGCGTGTTTATTAACAGCAATGTGTGTGTTGTCCGTAGGGGGAAGCCGGTGCTACCGGACCACCGGGCTCCCCGGGGCTGGAGGGACTAAAAGGGGAAAAGGTATAAATATCAACTTTTATAAATGGAACTGACTGACTTTTACAAGCGATATTGTGACTTTTAGTGGAATAAATAGCTGGAAATGTCACTTTAAATCATTTAAAAGGTGACCTGAGCACCAGATGGATGCAGTTCCTAAACAATGTGTAAAATTCAAAGGCAAACAAAAAAAAAATATATATATACTGCTGCTAGTAACGTAAATTCTTACATGGCGTCATGTACAGGGACCAAAGGGGAACGACGGAGATGCAGGACAAAAGGTAACACCTCAGGTCGCGTGCACAAACTCACACTGGACACACACACTCCAAGTTTAAAGCATTTTCTGTGCCGTTTATTAAATGCTTTTTTCCAGGGGGAGAGGGGACGGGACGGGCTCAGTATAACCGGCCCTCCGGGGCCACCTGGACCGGCAGGACCCGTTATCAACCTCCAGGATGTAAGCAGCAGCTGCAGCTCCAGTGGATAAGTTCCTACATGTGCAACCAGAGGGATTGATTTAATCAGTTGGATTCTCCTTCTGCCTCAAATCCAGCTTCTACTTAACAACACAGATGGTGCCTTCAACTTCTCCGGGATTTTCGAAGCTCAGGGACACGCTGTGAGTATCAAACGAATCGGAAACCCGATGATCTTGGAGACACAATATAATACGATTCTCACATTATTTTACCTTTTGGAGTTGTCTTCATTTGTATCTCCTAAATGTTAGCAGGGACCTCAGGGTCCACAGGGACCAAAGGGAGACAGTGGATTGCCAGGAGTTCAAGGACCTCCAGGACTGAAGGTAAGCGAGACATTCAGGCCTCATACGTGATGTTAGCCGACTGAATGGACACAACGAACACGGTGTGGCCTCTTCTTCTTCTTCTTCTTCTTCTTCTCCTGTCTACACACATGTTCGTGGAATTAAGATGGGTGCACGTTGCCTTTCTATGTCTACCTGGGGTTTGTTAACACGTGTGTGTGTGTGTGTGTGTGTGTGTGTGCACGCAGGGTGAAAGGGGAGAGCCGGGTCTGGCCATCTCAGCAGATGGATCCCTGACGTCCGGCCTGGCTGGACCCAAAGGAGTCAAGGTTATTTTAATTCTTTCCTTTTAGTTTTTATGTTTTCGATTATTTTCGATTATTTTGCTCATATTGGGTCTGAATTGCCTGAAGTTAAGAGCTGAAAAACGTTTTGATTGTTGATATTTAGTGTGTTGGGTTGCGTTGCAGGGAGATATTGGTGTGTCCGGACCGGCTGGAATCACAGTGAGTATCGGCAGCGTGAAAGGACCCTTCATTTTGCTTTTCAGGTTCTGTAGCTGGAGCAACTCCGGTGAATGAAGGTGAGGTGATGTCACTCACTTTGCTTTGTTCCCAACAGGGGCCGACTGGACCCGCGGGACCCAAAGGAGAATTTGGTTTCCCCGGCAGACCTGTGAGTACCATGTACTCGCCAACATCAGGACATAAATATAGTTCAGATCGTCTTTACAAAGCAACATTTTTGGACTTCTGCATTAGAAAAACGTAGTTTAAGTACTTTTTGGTTGGTTGTGTCGGTGCGTAGGGACGTCCAGGCCTGATGGGACCGAAAGGAGAGAGAGGAGACTCTTCAGCCCTGATGGTGGTGCAAAACATCAAACCACAAGTTTTGATTTTGGTTCTGGTTTCTTAGCCCCTCGTTTACCGTTTACCTCTTCCTCGCTTACATTTTCGTCTTTTTAGGGACCCCCCGGCCCGCCGGGGCCTCCGGGCCGTCCAGGAATGTTCGGCTGCCCGAAAGGAGTGAGCACACACACGTTGATCAACAGTTCAGATGGGACTCTGGTGCAGTTTTTGACCTTGTTTGACCTTCCTCTCCCTGCAGACCGTGTTCTCCATCCCTCCCAGGCCGCACTGCAAGATGCCCGTGAGTTTGCGTCTCTGCGACCGCAACGGCGATGAAACTTGTTATGCATAAACTGATGATTTATTTATTCAACGTAATCTGTCATCCTCCTCCTTTCCGTATTTTCTAAAATCACACATTCGTTTTTCAATGACGGTTTGAAGAAACAACAACACAGGAGTCAACGAGAGATGCTGTTTCGTTATTCGGGTCTCTGATAAAGTGTCTGCCGACCCCGTCGAGGCGTCTCTCTCCGTCCTAAACTGCCTTTCACAATCTCTCCCTCTTCTATCGTCCCGTGTGCACGTGAGGTGCACGTTGCCCTTTGGCTCATGTGCTGTGACGCTCCTCAAACATTCCTGCATGCTGCATGTCTGGTCTGGGAAGGTGACGGCGCTGTGCCGATCCAGGAAGGAGGTAGAACTGAAACCCGCAGGAAATCTGCACCTTTCATGTGCATGATTCGGGATGATATTAACACGACCGATGGGATGAGTTGGTACTATTCAGAGTGGAATGCAGGATGACATGTTTCGTTTCTTGGATGATTACTGACATTTATGAAAATCATAACTTAATGTGTTTGTGCTCCATTATTTCAGCTCAATCCCAATGGAACAATTGCAGTTGGTAGGTTGGCTCACCACTTTTATTTGCCATAAGTTGTAAAACCTGAAGTCTGATTTCACCATTTCCTGCATAGAATCAGTATTCAACCAACATATGACATACTTGCAATAAATATATCTTACTCTAACTTCAAAACAAATTTCTGTGTCGGTATGACATCAAATGTCAAGACAAGGAATTCAATTTAAGTTTGTCTCTCTGTCTCCAAGGTAACTGTCAGACAGGAGTGAAAGGGGAGAAGGGAGAGCAAGGTCTTCCTGGGATCCCGGCGCCTCACAGTGAGTCAACACTCAAATAATCTCTTCAATTTTGGAACAATAAAAAATGACAAATGTAAATGCCATCAAAAAGAAACACTATTATAAAATGGAGCGAGTGTACAATTTACTTATTTATAAAGTGTGTTTTAATGTGGGAATTTAAAGGCCTGATTTTATTTGGGAAGGATATTCAATCATCTATTTTCTCTTAACTTCCCCCAAATCTTGTTTTCTGCATTCTAGACTCTTTTCATTCAAGTAGAAGTTGGGTAAGTTTCATACGGAAGGAACATTTTTAACATTTCTCAGCAATTTCAAATATATTGTTTCATTTAGTTTGGGGACGTTCTTGCTTTGTAGCTCGGACCAACGTACCAAGTCTTTTGTGTGTTTGTTGTGCGTCTGTGTACGTCATCACAGGGGGCAAGAGGTGAGCAGGGCACTAAAGGAGAGAAGGGAGTCAAGGGGGAGGCAGGGTTGCCCGGGCAACCAGGTAATCCCGGGAGAACAGGGCTTGTGGTGAGTCAAGATGACACGGACACGTCTCTGTTTTTCTAATTTTCTAATATTCATACTTTTTTTGTCAAAGTTGCACCGTTTTAAACTAAACTAGGCGTTAGTCTCGTCTCGTACTGTCGTTCCAGTCAGTTCTTCAGTTGGTCGGTGCTGGCTCGTCGCCTGTTGTTTGGCTATATTTTGAACCGTGGTTTTCGTTGAAGACAATAACATTGCTCCTGATGCATTTCAGGGACCCAAAGGGGAGTCAGTGATTGGCCCACGAGGCCCCCCTGGGGTGCCCGGTGCACCTGGTTTTCCAGGCTATGGCAGACCAGGACCGGCCGGCGCTCCAGGGCCGCCGGGGCCTCCAGGATCCTCCCTGTCACCCTCGAGATACGGCTCAGGTACAATTGATCACTCTCTTATCGCATACAAACGCAGCACAATGTTATCATTTATAGGAATTATAGTTCATCATTCTTATAATTGATGAGATTGGACATTATTGTTGTGGCAGCTTTGACCATTGCCGGCCCGCCTGGACCTCCTGGACCAGTTGGACCGCCCGGGCCTTCGAGTAACGCAGCATCTGTAAGTTGCGTACTACAAACAAAGGATACATCAATGCTATGAACATTTGCACGATTTCACACCAGCTAGCAGTTAAATAAGCATCATAACCATATCAGACTTTCCAGGTAGGTGAAGCTTCTCTTTATTTGTTTCTCAGCTGAGAACGTTTTCCTCCCGTGAGAGCATGATGCAGCACACCGCCCGGGATGCAGAGGGGACTCTGGCCTACGTCAAGGCGACAGGAAGTCTCTTCCTCAAGGTCTCACAAGGATGGAAGGAGATACAGGTACCAACGGGAACCGCACGGTCTGTGTGTGCAATGTAACACAAGCTCAAATAACACAACTGAATGCATCCGGTTCACGGTGTCGTCTTGTCTCCACAGCTCGGCAGCCTTATTTACCTCTCCAATAACATTATTCCACAAGATGAGGTAACAGTTGCTTATTTTTATGTCCTCAGGTTTAGTAAAAGGGTACATTTTGATTCATGTGCCGTTTTTATCCATTTAACTTTTAAATAATTCATTTAGCCCCGGGTTTCATATCAGATAAGTGGAGACACGATGGAAAGAATACGTTCCGTCAACGAACGGGTGAGTGTCCGCAAGATGGAGTCATTTTAAACAATGTAATGTAGTGTTCAGGGTTTAGAGTGTTGAATGATCTCCAACGTTGGATTTGTCACTCCAGACTAACTCCCTCGTGTTGCCTCCTCTCCCTCCAGCTCAACCTGGTGGCGTTGAACCAGCCCCACTCGGGCGACATGATGGGGCTCGACGCCGCTGACCGGATGTGCTACGAGCAGGCCAAGGCGATGGGTTTGCCCCCGAACTTCCGCGCCTTCATCTCCTCCCAGAGGCAAGACCTGGTCCACGTGGTCTACCCGGGTTTCCGGGAAACTCTGCCAGTGACTAACCTCAGGGTGAGTCCGCTCTCCTGCTTTGCGTCGTGCAGGAATTCTCAACAGACAAAGAGCTTTTGGCCCAAATATAACCCAGTGCGTGTCTTCTTTTAGGGGGATGTGATGTTCAGCAACTGGAAGTCAATTTTCAATGGGGACGGGGGGCCAATGGATGCCAGGGTACCAATCTATTCCTTCGACGGCCGAGACGTCTTGGCCGACCCGTTCTGGTCAGTTGACTTGATTCGTATCGTCATTCGTGCCTGTTGTTGTTCTGCTATTTCCTGTCGTGTTCACGTTCTCCGCCGTCGACTCGTCAGGCCTCAGAAGAGCATCTGGCACGGCTCCACCAGCAGGGGGCTCCGAGCGGTGGACAAACACTGCGAGACGTGGCGAGCGGACCACATATCTGTGGCGGGCCAGTCGTCGAGCCTGACCTCAGGTCTGCTCCTGGGCCAGCAGACCAGGAGCTGCTCCAACCAGTACATCCTCCTCTGCATCGAGACGCACAAAAAGACCTAAATCGCCCACCCAGCGCCCCTCCCATACCACTCCACCATGCCAGCCACCGTAAACGTTAAACACTCGGGGAATATAATTCGGTGCTACCTGCAGCATTTAGTGTTTTGTTTTTTTAAACAGAGGACCACATTAAAGGCGATTCCTTTCACAGCGACGATGCTACATTTGCACTCGTCCCTTTCCTGACACCCTTCAGTGTCACATATCGGCGGTAAAAAGGCTTCATGACAAACATAAAGTCGTCATATGTACGTGCATGTAAAGTGCATGACGAATTCTTATGGAGGCTGCCAGTCTCCTCGGCAATAGTGCTTCATGACAATAATGCTAATCATCTGCAAGATAATGTGGTAATGTTTTACTGATGTCAAAATGATACACACGCAGCACCTTTTAACCTTTTATTCAAAGAAAGTTGACTTGATTGCAACCAGGTCCGTGTCATTTCACAAGAATAAAACAAAGTGGGCCAATGCTTCGTCATCAGACGGCCGTCGATGTGTTTTGAGGACAAGACGTCTCTTTTTATGAGACCACCTGCACCGGTCCTGCAACCAGTTGCTTTCTGTTTTGGGTTTCCAAAGACTTTTATGGCTACTGTCACTGTGAGAGTGTTAGAAAAACAATTGTAGAATTTTTTTTTTTTTTAAAGACAAAAAGAATGTTTTTAAACTCACATGGTCCCTCGTCCAACAGACAACCAGTGTTGCCACCAAAGTCATTTTTGATGCACTGTACTTTATTCAAAAAAGTATTTTCTTGTTCAACATGGTTTTTGTTGTAGTTTTTCATACATCTTGGGGATCTCAAATTTAAGCAGCTCTTTCTCTCATTAGGCTATTTAATTTAAATTCAATGATTTATTTATACCTTCATAGCACATAACGTCCAATCCGAGGATTCAATTAACGAATGTAACTTATAGTTTTCTCTTTGATCCTACTCATTGCCTATTCTCTATCTTTTTGTACAGTTGTTATGTTTCTAGATTTCTGGTGATGCAAAAGAAACAAGCTTAATATTTTCATTCTTAAAAAAATAAGAATACAAGAAAAATCGATTCCTACAGGGAAAAGTCCCATGTTTTGTGTAAATAGTGGTGCTTTGTTGAATAAAGTTTACTCTTTTCATAATCGGCTCTTGTTTCATTCACTCATTTGATCTGTTTCAGTGTTCTAGATGCAGCAAATGGTAAACTTTTTGGTCGCTAAAATATTTTTTTAAAGAAAATATATTTTCGTCCCTACAAAGAATATTATTATTATTATATAATATTAGGTTGTTAATTATCCTCGTATTTGTGGAGAAACAAGTATAATCTAGGGAACTTGAGCCATACAGGAAGCCTTTATTTTGACTGAAGTATCCCGGAAGTGACGTCGTCGACCCTGTAACAGCTTGGGAGGAGACCGGCTACACCTGCGTGCTGCTCAGGCGCCAACGTTACTTCCAGAAGAAACAACAATGTCCTTATTCTTTTGCATTTCTCTCACGTGCCTGTTTTACTCCTCGGCCACGCGCAACAACAGACCCGTCATCGGTAAGCGTGCGCGTGATTCACTGCGACACTTTCACGTCTAAAAGTTTATAATATCCACAGGTGAGTCAACTCAGGTGCACGTCACGCTTAAACAAACCAGCCGATGCCAGCTGTTGTGTACTGTCATGTACACGCTCACAAACCCACAGCAATACACAGCAGGAAGTAACGTTACTACGTGCCAGTGAGTACTATTTATTGAGAGACAGGAGAATATTTAAACTGTTCATCAACCATCTACTTCCTCTGCATTCACAATAGAAAATACATGTTCTTTTCTGTATTGAATCTAATGTGCTTCTGTTAAATACAATCTATCTGGTAGTGATTCTAAACGGCCTGCTGATCCTTTTCTATTCCATTATGTTATTTTACATTACATTACATGTCATTTAGCTGACGCTTTAATCCAAAGCCACTTACAATAAGTGCATTCAACCATAGGGTACAAACTCAGAAGAACAATAAACAAGAAAGTGCAATTTCCTCAAATAAGCCAATTTACAACTTGCTATAGATGAGTGGCGTTACAAGTACAATTTAAGTGCTACAGTTTGTTAGTGTTTTTAGTCGAGGTAGAGTCTGAAGAGGTGTGTTTTTTTTCCGTCTGTCATCTTATTAGCATTGTCTACGCCTTGGGACGTGACTGTTGGCTCAGGAGACCCAACCGGTTGGGTTTCAGGAGACGGACCCAACCGGTTGGGTTCAGGAGACGGACCCAACCGGTTGGGTTTCAGGAGACGGACCCAGCCGGTTGTGTTTCAGGAGACGGACCCAACCGGTTGGGTTTCAGGAGACGGACCCAACCGGTTGGGTTTCAGTAGACGGACCCAACCGGTTGGGTTTCAGGAGACGGACCCAACCGGTTGGGTTTCAGGAGACGGACCCAACCGGTTGGGTTTCAGGAGACGGACCCAACCGGTTGGGTTTCAGGAGACGGACTGAGATGGTTGTGTTTCAGGAGACGGACCCAACCGGTTGGGTTTCAGGAGACGGACCCAACCGGTTGGGTTTCAGGAGACGGACCCAACCGGTTGGGTTTCAGGAGACGGACCCAACCGGTTGTGTTTTAGGAGACGGACCCAACCGGTTGTGTTTCAGGAGACGGACTGAGATGGTTGTGTTTCAGGAGACGGACTGAACCGGTTGTGTTTCAGGAGACGGACTGAGATGGTTGTGTTTCAGGAGACGGACTGAACCGGTTGTGTTTCAGGAGACGGACTGAACCGGTTGTGTTTCAGGAGACGGACTGAACCGGTTGTGTTTCAGGAGACGGACTGAGATGGTTGTGTTTCAGGAGACGGACTGAACCGGTTGTGTTTCAGGAGACGGACTGAACCGGTTGTGTTTTAGGAGACGGACTGAGATGGTTGTGTTTCAGGAGACGGACTGAGATGGTTGTGTTTCAGGAGACGGACTGAGATGGTTGTGTTTCAGGAGACGGACTGAACCGGTTGTGTTTCAGGAGACGGACTGAGATGGTTGTGTTTCAGGAGACGGACTGAACTGGTTGTGTTTCAGGAGACGGACTGAGATGGTTGTGTTTCAGGAGACGGACTGAGATGGTTGTGTTTCAGGAGACGGACCCAACCGGTTGTGTTTCAGGAGACGGACTGAACCGGTTGTGTTTTAGGAGACGGACTGAGATGGTTGTGTTTCAGGAGACGGACTGAGATGGTTGTGTTTCAGGAGACGGACCGAACCGGTTGTGTTTCAGGAGACGGACTGAACTGGTTGTGTTTCAGGAGACGGACTGAACCGGTTGTGTTTTTTTTCTTTCAAAAGGAATCCTGGCCCAGGAAATCCGTGTGCCCAAACCCAACCAAACGACTTACGTCGCTGCCTCCTACGTCAAGTTCCTGGAGTCTGGAGGCGCGCGGGTGGTGCCCGTCATGTGAGTTCTGATCAAACCGTATACGTTTATGTTCATACAGCAGCTCTAGGATTAAAGCCTGTAACCACCGTCCACAGGCTCGATCAGACGCTGGAGGAGTATAAGCGAGTGTTCAACTCCATCAACGGGTAAATGTGCCCAAACACGGGAATCATTGTGAATAATGACACCATATGTCTATGTGGTGACTCGCCTCCTGAAAGAGTCACGGTCATCCCTTCTGCTGTTGTTGTTGTTGTTGTTGTTCACAGGATCCTTCTCCCGGGAGGAAGGGCCAGCATCATCTCGTCTCCGTTTCAAAGAGCTTCACAGATCTTTTATGAGCTCGCCGTTGAGGTGAGAGTTGTAAGGTATTTGTGGCTCTGTGTGTTTGTGCTGGATTACGCTGCAGACTCTTGTTGTTGTTGTTGTTGTTGTTGTTTCAGGCCAACAACAGGGGCGACTACTTCCCCCTGTGGGGAACCTGTCTTGGCTTTGAGCAGCTGTTTTATTTCACCAGTTTTAAGACGACGCTGTCTCGCACCAACACGACTGGTGTGGCGTTGCCCCTGAGCTTCACCAACGGTACGCTTTGTCTTCCTCCTGCTTACTTTGCGATGAGTTCAGTTAAGAAATGTCTAAAACATACCATCCACACGACCCCAAACTATTTATCTGATCAGCTTCCTCTTTGTTTTTGCAGAAAGCAAAAGCAGCCGGCTGCTGAAAGATTTCCCCGCTGAACTGCTGGACGCTCTGGCGTCCGAGCCGCTCACAGAACACTCGCACAAGTTTGGTTTGGCCCTGTCGGTACGTCGGGAGAACCCAACCCACGCGGTGCATTACGGTGCATTACGGTGCTATGCGGTGGAACCGAACCTCCCATCTGCTTCTTTCAGACTCACGACACGAACGAGGAGCTGAAGAGGTTTTACAAAGTTATCTCCACCAATTGGGACGGAGCCACGGAGTTCGTGTCCACGTTCGAAGGTAGGCGCCCGTTCGGAGTCCCCCGTTCAAGTCCAAAGCCAAACAACGAGCGGGTGAGCACCTTGTCCTCCCCTTTACCCCGGGGCAGCGTACGATTACCCGTTCTACGGCACGCAGTGGCACCCGGAAAAAAACGCGTACGAATGGCGGAAGCCTTACGTTCCTCACTCGCCGTCGGCCGTCAGGACCACGTTCTTCATGGCGGAGTTCTTCGTCAACGAAGGTAAGGGGACCGGCGGCGTTTTCCAGTCGCGCCGCCTGCAGTTGAATCGCGTCACATCGTCTTGTGTCTCCTCGCAGCCAGGAAGAGCTTCCACAGGTTCAGGTCTGAGGAGGAAGAGCGGAGCGCGCTGATATACAACTACAGTCCCGTCCACAGCGGACCCAACGGCTTCTTTGAGCAGGTCTATATATTCTAACGGTCGTTTGCTCGGTGGCTTTTCCCTTTTTAGAACAATTAGTTGTCACTGTGCAACACGACTAAATGTGGTTCATCCGTTACAAAAGAATAGGTCCAAACTTGCAGGAAGGCATTTTTTTTAAATGCTTCATTCTCCTGATCTCTTTTGTCATACTTTTTTTTTTTAACAACTATCAATTTTGCTGCTCACTTTATTTATTGAAGTAGTCAAATCAATAACGTCAACATTCATACACAAAACACAATGTTGACCTTCCTGTGAATGCTGTAACCGGGTGAAAGTCTAGTATTTAAATGCTGTTTACACATTGTGTTCTCTTAAGACATTTCTGCAAAATTAATATTCCTCCAACCAGTTAGCAACTTTAATAGCCGAGATATTTCTCTCAAGAATTATCTGAGAGCAAAACAGAGCTGAAAAGAAAATGTGACCAGAAGCAGGAATGAAGATGATGTTATTGTGTCTGCTCGAGTTGTAAGTAGACGATGTATCCTGGAATAACATGACGACAACAAAAAAATCCTAGAAAAACTGACACGTAGCACAAATAGTCATTAAAATAAATGATCAACATGTGCCTCAAGAATTTGTCCTTTGCTTTATTTGCTATTTCCCATTTTTAAATGCAGGATTTCTCACGTTATAAAATTTGCTTCACGCCTTAGCTGCCATTTTTATTGGCTGGAATTTCTGCCTCTTATTAGTCATGGTAATCATGTCTGAGATATGTGGAAAATTCCCTTAATCGCCCCCTGGTGGCCGGTTGGATGCATTTCACATCCCATATACGGTGACCGCTGTTATCTGCGAAGGGGCAAGGGCCAAACTTGTGCACGTGGTTAAAGTTATTGTCAACAGATTTTGAATGGTGGCGTCCTTCCAAAGGGCAAAGAGAGAGAACCCACAAAAAAAACCCAACTGCTCTCAGTCCTCCACTGATTAGAGTGCACGACTGTGGAAGAGTTGTCTTTGATAGACGTTTCAGATCGACACCTCTTTGCGTTTTTGGACCCTTGGACATGGAGGCATTCCAGGTACTTTTGTCGTGTTTCCGTTGTGTGTAACGTGTACTCTTGTTTTCAACCCCTGGACCTGCATTTAACCGCATAATGACTCCTAACTTTACTGCGAAGGTGCTGCTCGTGGTCCTCCTGACCGCGGCGGCTCGCGCCCAGTCCTTCCACCGCGGAAAATGTCCCCGGCCGTCTGTCCAGCAGGATTTCGATGTCACGAAGGTAAGAGACGGTGAACTCGTCTCATGTCACTGGTAACAAAGCGTATCAGAGAGGATCTTGTTGACCTACGCAGAGGTTTGGTTTCTCATTGCGGTGTTTTTGTCTTTTTTTTTTTTAGTACATGGGGACCTGGTATGAAATAGAGAAGCTCCCAGCCGCGTTCGAGAGAGGAACATGTAACCAAGCGACCTACAGTCCTCTCGCCGATGGGACGGTCAAAGTTCGCAACGCAGAGCTTCTGTAAGGTTGCTGCCAGTTAACGACCAACGTTTACCATCATTTCTATTTGGTTAAACGTTGCCTTTGCTCACCTGCACATGCGGCACTGTGGTCAGTGTGCCGAGGTTTTTCTAGTAACATTAGTCCGTCCACTCTGCACAGGTCCAATGGGAAGAGAAGTACAATCGAGGGTGTTGCCAAAGTCAAAAACGCGTCACAACCGGCTATATTGGGCGTCGGCTTCTTTAAAGGTAAATCCACCATTTTTAAAATGACGCTACAATACGTACTTGTACTACATCTACTTCCCACCACATCTGTGTGCAGGCGTTCCAGATGCCCCCTACTGGGTGCTCTCCACAGACTACCACTCGTACTCCCTGGTGTACTCCTGTACCAAGTACTTCCTCTTCCACGTGGACTACGCCTGGATCCTGTCTCGCACTCGGGTGCTGGCTGAGGATGTCATCGGCCCGTTGCGTGATCGGCTGGCCTCCGCCGGTGTGAACGCCAACCGCCTCACCGTCAGCAATCAGACCGGATGCGATCGGACTGCAGCCAAGACGAACGAGCGACCCATCATTGGCAAGCGACCGCAACGTGAAACCAGGCCTTCTCATGCGGACTCGCTACACTTTTCTGCGTTTCATATATTTATTTTCCTCTCAAAAGGAGTGCTGGCTCAGGAGGTTTCTTCCCCCAAAACCAATCGGACGGCCTACATCGCTGCCTCCTACGTCAAGACGCTGGAGTCAGCGGGGGCGAGGGTGGTGCCCGTCATGTGAGTTGTCGTCACGCGTTTTCAGTCCTGCAGCACATGGGAGCTTTTTGACCCCCCCCCCCCCCCTCCTTCTTTGCACCTCTACAGGATCAACCAGACGCCGCAGGAGTACGAGGCGCTGTTCGCCTCCATTAACGGGTAAATGTGTAGATTTGTACCCTTTGCATGTGTCATGATTCCCCCCCCTCAGCCTCTGAACCTCTGTTGTCTCCATCAGGATCCTTTACCCGGGGGGCAGCGCCAACATCCTGTCCTCCGGCTACCAACGGGCCGCAAAAATATTTTACGAACTCGCTCTGGAGGTGAGTGTGTAAAAACGCGACCCGCCAGGTTTCCCACAGGATTATTTTCGCAGACTTCACGTGACGTTTCAGGCGAACAAGCGAGGCGACTACTTCCCGGTGTGGGGAACCTGCCTCGGGTACGAGCAGCTGACCGTGCTGACCAGCGGAGAGGACTTACTGTCGCTCACCAACACCAGCGGCGTGCCGCTCCCTCTCAACTTCATGGACGGTACGTCGGCTTTACTTGAAGGAAAAAAAAAAAAAAATCAATCCGATTACCGGTGAGGAATCCTTTTTGCTGTGACCCATTTCCAGGAGCCAAAAGCAGCCGGATGTTTGAAGGCTTCCCGGACGAGCTCATGGAGGACCTGGCCTCCGAGCCGCTGACGGCCAACGTGCACAACTGGAGTGTGTCGCTGTCGGTGCGTCGCCGTAACAATGGCACTCATTCTTTCTCAGGTGAAAGGAGAAAAACGTTTTAATGTTAGTTTTCTCTTCCAGACGCATAAAACAAACGAGCAGCTGAACAGCTTTTACAAAGTTCTCTCCACGAATACGGACGGAACGACGGAGTTTGTGTCAACGGTTGAAGGTAGACTTTATCGGCACCAGCAGAGCAACACTGGAGATAAAGGTTCATTCATTTATCGGCGCCTTCCTCTCGGCAGCGTTCGACTACCCGATTTACGGGACTCAGTGGCACCCGGAGAAGAACGCGTTCGAGTGGAGGCGGCCGTACGTTCCTCACTCTCCCTCGGCGGTCAGGATCTCCTTCTACGCGGCTCAGTTCTTCGTCAACGAAGGTACGAACGCGGACGATGAGCGAAAGAGGAGCCTTTGGGATTTGTGAACGTTTCTTTTTTCTCTCCTCACAGCCAGGAAGAACTTTCACAAGTTTGACTCGGAGGAGGAGGAGGGAAAAGCGCTGATCTTCAACTACAGTCCCGTCTACGCGGCGCCCCGAAGCGTCTTCGAGCAAATCTATTATTTCTGATTGTAGATGCTGGATTTACATAAATATCACAACAGGCGTTCTGACTCACGTGATCCGCCTGCTACTGGACTTCATGGGAAACGAGGTTACAACATTGTGCTCCGACTGGTGAACAAACGACTCGTCAGACGTAACTTCCAAAATGCTTTATGCACAAATAACACTCGACACATATTATTTTTCTCTTATTTAGAATTAAATGATATTTGAATAACATTTACACATCAAGCTGACGAGACATGGATCTCAATCACAATATGTATATGTCATTTATGCAATCCAGTAAGGAACATTCAAGATGTCAAAATGACCGAGCTGAGCTGTCAGTGCTGCAGGTGACGTGTGAACATGCACTGAAACACAAATGCTCATTCAAATCAGTAAAAGGAGCGACGACACATGTGCCTCGAGAGTTCATCTCATCTGCCACGTTTGCATTGCTTCCTTGAAAAATGTTTCCCCCCTTATATACAAATGTGTAACACTTATCGTAATGCCGTCTGCCTTCGTCCTTGAATCATGTGTTTAGTGACTTAAGTGACACGGCGCTTTTATTAAACGCACACTTTCTTTTCCGTTTCCTCCACCTAGTGTACCGTCCTTAAACACGAAGCATGCAGTTCGCTTAGTGGGCATATTTGTAACTTTATCTCCCTCCAGCTGCCCAAATCAAGTTGAAAGCTGTGTCTTTTTTTTTTTTTAAGTTCTTTTTCGAGCCATGTGTTTATAATAATCGCTGCCGTTTTGGGAAATGTGCTTATTCGCTTTCTTGCTTAGAGTTAGATAAAAACTATTAACGGGAAAACACTCCTAGAAATAGTCCAGGTCACAACCATTCCTAAAAGCACAACTTGTATGCATAAAACCAGTGAATGTTCCCGTTCTGGTAGTTTGTTTGCGGCTGCAGGATTTCTTTGTCAAAGTAAGGCACAGTGACTAAAACAACTGAATGCTTTCCATCTTTGACAAACACTTGATAAAAACGAGCGTCACAGTAAAACCGCCTCAACTCATTTCGTCTTCCGCCAGCGTGTCGAGGCTACGAGATGAACGTCGGGGGAACCACGGATGCCAAAAGAAAATATATCCATAATTGCCGAGTGTATGTTTGTGTGCTATTTACACACACAGTAAGAACAAGAGACACAACCACAGTCCAACATGAAGGGTCTTCACAACTTTAAAAATAGCAACATTTCCTGTATCGGACCACCAGGAGTCTGATCTCCGCTGATGTACAAAGCCCGTGAGTCGGGGCGTCCTCACGACGGCGTCGACAGTTTGCGTGGAAGCTGCTTTGGCGGAGCAGCTCCAACCCGGCTGCGGAGGGTCAGAATGCTCCCCGGACACCTCGTCGGGTCACCGGCCTCTGAACTCTGGGCAGCAGGTGTGAAGATGGACGTGGGTCTAGATTCCGTCGTCTGCTGGAAAGGCAGTCTCGGAGACGGCATGCGGACGGGGGGCGGGGGACGGGGGATGGGGGGGGGGGGTCCAGATGCAAGTTGAGCAAAAAACAGACGAGAGTTGCACGTTTTTTTTTTCCCCGTACCGCCGCGCGTCAGTGTTGTTGTGAGCGGGATGGAGGACAGGAGGGAGGACGCATGGGTGGGAGGGATGCAGGGCACACGAGCCTCAGGAGGCCCAGCTAACCCTCGTCCTCGCTCTCCTCCTCCAGGGCCTCCTCGAACACCTGCTCCGGTAGCCTGAAGCACTCCTCGAAGAAGTTCACCAGGGACTGGCTGAGGTGCTGCCTCGTGGCCGCGCTGCGGATGAAGTGACCTTCGTCGGGGTAGATCTGAGACAGAAAGGACGGGGGGGGACAGAGACGCAGCGTTTGGACGTGTTCACATCCCTGGATAACAAACATGCGACGCTAGACGTTATATTTTGTATGTTTGGATCAGGTTGAGAATCGATTGATCTATTTCTATTAAGTGTTACACATACTATGAATTTTTAAAACCACATGCTTTACTATTAAATTCACTTTATTGAGGCCTTTTCAACATACTATGCAGGGACTATGTCACATTATGCCATTACTTTTTTCAAGAAACCGTACAATTTATTTCATTGTCATACACATATTGATTGTGGATTGTAATCGGATTTATTCCTACATTGACTCTTTTGGACAAACTATAGTATGACTTTTGTAATGTTTTATAATTCATTTCCACATACGTTATCTTTTTAATTCTACATATACTGTGACTCTTAACATACTACCCTTTGACTTTTATCTGAATCTTTTTGACAATCCATTTAAAGATTTCTTCTTTTGACATTCTATCCAAATGTTATGCTATCAGTTATTTTGAATTCTTAAATTTGAATTATTTTTTGACATTATGTTCGGGACTTTTACATGATTATTTTGACATTTTTTATTTTGACAAACTAAATAAAACTACAAATTACTTAATGATTTTTTTCAATATACTATTATTATACAATCTGCAGCTTTTACGACTTTTCTGACGTACAATTCTAACCACTGCAAGTTATAATTTACTATTAATTCAATTCAATTCCAATTCAAACAAATCAAATTACAAATGATCCTTCTGAAAAATGTTGAAACGCAAATTAATTTAGCTTTCCAAGGTTGAATACTAAATTAGCACTATTTCTGGAGCGTTATTTCCGATAAGATATTCTATCTGCGTTATAACCTTTACACGGGTCGACCTAAAGCCTCACGAAGCAAAGCGTGCGTCACCCATCGCTCGGCCATTAAGCTCCGCTGAACATTCGGCCGCAGCAATTTGTGTCCTAATTGCATTAGTCCTGGTGTTAATGCATCGCAGGTCTCATAATCTCATTATGCGGAATGAAGGCATTGTGGGGGCTAATCCTCTTCCCCACTGGGACCACAAAGCTCCCAGAGGTCGGACCACGCGCCGACCGGGCAGAAGCTTCAATTAGTGAAAAGCAAACCCACGTACCTGTAAGGTGTAGTTGGCCTTCTCATTGATAAGCTGGGCGATGAACTTTGCTGTATGTTGGAAATGGACCTTTTCTGGGAAAACATAATGAGAAAGGCGGCGAAATGTCAGAGATCTCACTGCTCGGTGTGAGGTTTACAAACGGCTCCATTAGAGTGTTGAACATGCTCGCCGTACCGTCAGCTGTTGGGTGAACAATGAGGAACTTCTTATCCATGAACTGAGATGCTCTGTGCGCTAAATTTGCCGTCTGAGGAGAAATGGGAAACGAATGAGCTCAGATGAAAATGCTACGACCAATGATCACAGCTGGAATGCGAGACACAAGTCTTACCGTGTACGCCCTCGGATCAGGTTTAGGCAGCCCGAGGTATCTTTCTGAAAACGCCGACGCTGCAAGGGAAAGACGGCATCAACTTGCTGCATCGACATCAAACTCCAATCAACTCCTTATTTCAATGAAAAGACGAGTGATTTCTGTCCTGTTCCTCGGTCATTTCGAAGGACAAATAGTACACGTTTCCATGTTTTCCTCCATATTCAAATAGATTCAGCCATCTACATATTCTCTAGTTCGCGGCAAGGTCTTCATTTGCATTTCTGAACGTAGACGGCGTCGTGGCGCGTCGCTCGCTCCCTCGAGCTGAGCGAGAGGAATCAAGTCGATGTGAGATCGCTCCCACTGTGACGCACAGCTCCTCCCTAATTTGCGGTTTCCCCGAATAGAGCTCAAGAGCTCCGTCTCTCCATTCACACACTCCATTTGTTCGGCTGCTGAGGTGAGGATGGTGTGGTTAACTTTGTCTGCCGCTGTTATGATTGGGGTCGAGGTGTATCTGCAGCATGGCGCCGAGACGGTGTCAACAGTCATGGAGATAAGTGCACGTCTCTTTTGCTTTTCAATACTTTCTGAAAGCACTCGCTGAGGAGGAATCATTACGCAGAGATGCAACGCGCGGCGTGGGCCACACACGCGGAGACAAACTCAAGACAGACGCAGACGGGTTACCGTATAACTCAAAGTCGGTGACGGGGGAGAGGACGGCGCCGCACTTCACGGGGGATTCATTGCCACTGACCAGCAGGCTGGTCACGTAGCCGCCATACACCTGAGGCACAAACCACCAATAGGATGTCTGAATATGTGTATTCAAACAGCGGATCAAGTTGCTAAAATGAGCATAACCGTAAACATGATTGAACAAAATGCACATTACACATTAAGGCAAGACAGTTGGAAACGTGAATAAAAATACTAATTGTCACAACTCGTTTCCACAGAGTGAGGAACTGAGCTTTCAAATAAACCGCGGGGTTATTTCTACTGTGTAAATGCAGATAATAGCACAATTATTATACATACGTTGTAAGCCGATGTAACATTTAAGAACATCTCAGTCACAGAGAATATTTTTACCTTCCCAAAAGCTCCAACCCGGGTCTTATCAATGTAGCTTTCCTTCATAATAAACCTGCAGGAGATACAAATGAATTATAGTCGGGAAGAACATTTCTATCTATGTTTACAAGAAACTTTTGGTTATAATTGTATGCAACGATTATAACAACTACAGCTTAAACATAAACATGCAAAAAGATACATATATTATATATTCTGACAATAACAAGTAATGTGAAGAAATGTTTGCAAGGCAAACACTAAGTTTAAGGTTGTGGGGTGAGACTAACAGTTTGAAACCGACCTCATTTCCATTTAAAACCCGTTTATTCTGATTAATATTCTCCATTATGGGAATATATGTGGCTTCGTGTAACCAACGTAGCCGTAGGGAATAATCTAATGTCGGTGCATGTCGGTGGTGTCTGGAACCACGTTCCCTAAACAATATTTAATCGGTTTATTGCAAAACAGGACATACTCGAGGGCTTTCCTCTGGTCCTGTTCCTCGTCCTGCCCCAGCCTCTTCTGGATCCGGTGCAGCAGGTTGGTCCCCTGGAAGCCGCTGCCCCGTCCGTCGCAGCGCACCACGATGGCGCCGAAGCTGCTGACCAGCACCGTGGCCCAGTCCACGTGGAACCGCTCCGCCACCGTCTGACCGCCGGGGCTCCCGTCGCTGCACGAACACACGCGCACACACACACACACAGAAGCACAGGCAAAGAGTGGCGTGCAGCCGAGACGGCTCGATGAGACAATCGCATTTACTACGCGGCACGCCGTTTATGAGCTGGTGTCTGTTTGGGAGCCTGTGGGTGCACAGCGTTTTTCTGGAAATGGCTTTTTAAGGCCTGAACAGTCACAGCTGCTAATGGAAACGCATTTCTTCGCCGTGCGGGAGCGTGCACCAAATGTTGTGTCAACCAGTGTGTAAACAAGCGGATACTCACACGAGCAGAAGCAACGGGTAGTAAGCTGTGTCCACAAAGCCGGCGGGTTTTAGGATCTGCATCGACAAGGCTGCAACGCAGATACAGCGACTTACCCCCGACTCAGTGCAGTAAAACAGAAACAGGAGAACCAAGCAGAAACTAAAGTATATTCTTAGCCCTGAATACATCCATCACCAATTTATGATGATGTGTGATGGCCGAAAGTATGCACTTTGTATCTCATCCTCTGCCAAATGGATGTGTTTCTATAGTAAATAAAACATGACAGTAAACCTACTGAGGTTCTTGCTTCATATAAAGTTTGTTAACTATTAGATAATTCATGCACGGGGATGCACATAGACGAGACATGACACCCACTGTAGTCCTCTACGTTGATCTCCTTGTACTCCACCGTCGGCATCTGCATGGAGTCCAGGGTGAGCCTCAGGTTCTCATTGCTCTCCAGTTTATGTACCAATGTAATGCCTGCAGACAGCACACACACACACACACACACACACACACACACACACACACACACACACACACACACACACACACACACACACACACACACACACACACACACGCAATGAGTTTGCAGAGAACTCGATTCACACTAGCTTTGTTTGGACAGCTTCAATTTCAAGTTGTAGTTCTGAAAACTAAGAAACAATTCACGGTACAAGATCCCTTTTCCTTTCATTATTAGCATGACTGTTTATAGAAAAAAAGTGAATTATTCATTTTTGATAGTGTAGGATTCTGCATGACGCCTTGCATTGAAATTCATACAAGAAACAAGCTCCTTCAGAGCCTCTCGTCCTCAAACAATACAAAGCAGAGAAGAGAAAAAGGCTGCAGGGCTGCAGCTGAAAGTGAGCCCTGGATTCGCTCATAGCAAACCTCACGCGTCAAGAGGTCGCCCTGAGTAGGGATCCAGCTGTGCTTATCCAGCAGCTACAGCTGGTTTGGGCGGAATTTGAATTAAACCTTCAGAGAAAACAACAAAGATGGCAACTCTTGGTAACTACGGGGCCCTCGAGCATCAATCTGTCCGTTAGCAGGAATGTAGTTGCGGCAGTGAAGAGAAGCCACTTGGTATGTAAACATCTGGCAAACAGATGCAGCGGGCAATGGGTGACAACGTGACATAATCGAGTGTAATGACATCAGGAGCTCTTTTAACATAATCAGGGCAGCGACTTCATATTGGTAAAACACAGGCTGACACACACACCCACACACGCGCGCCCTGTAGTAACCACATTACAGTATGCTGACGGGTCCTAATGCAATGAGGCCGGGAGTGATGTGATTACGACGGGTCACCGCAGAAAACGCTTTCGACAAAGTAGCTGTGTCTTTGACATAATCCACATTCACTCAGTGCAAATACTTACTCTCCCTGTCTTGCGTCTCACTCTCTCCGTCTCTCTGCGTTCTGTAAACGGCCACGAATGGGACGTCCCGTCCTGGGGCAGGAAATCACACAAGTTTCACCGTCATTCCAAAGACATGGGGAGAGAATGTGAGAAACCTCACAGGTGGAATGTTGCGGTGATAATAATCTGTGTGTCTGGGGACGGCCGTAGAACGCCTCCGTTTCGGTCGCCGACAGAAACAGACGCTTCGAAGGGTGTCGGTCGGGCGGAGAGAGGGGTTGAATGAGTTGACTACCTTGGCAGCTGAGCAGGAAAAAGCTCATGTTGTGGCTGAAGGAGCCGCTGACGTAGTCGCAGCTGTCGGCCAAGGCGCAGGACAGACAGCGGCGGTTGAAGGAGCCAAAGGTGTCCGCGCTGAGGGGGACGGAGAAGAGGTCATCGCACTTTTTGCTGATGCGGAGAAGAGCCGCCGCTGAGTCAAAAGAGCAGCCGTTACCTGTACAGGTGTCTTCGCTTCGGACCATCCTCCGTGCTCAGGAAGTATCTACGTTGGTAGAGAAAGAGGAAAACACGAGTTCACGATGTTCACCACAACGGACCAGCGACCGTCTCCAGGTGCAACGTCGGCGCTATCGGCTGAACAAACGCTGCGCCCGCATGAAGCATTCGGGACTACGTAGTTATGGGGTGCTCACATCAACTGGCTGTCCTCGTTGTAGGCCAGGACTTGGGTGACATCCCAGTCTCCCGACGTGATGGACTGCAGGGTGTCAGTGCTGGTGTTGGGCTTTGGAGAGAAACGGAGGAACCTCTTTACGCGATGAAATCAAGGCAACGGTGGGGCTGATTTTTTTTGGGGGACCCGTTGATTGACGGACGCTTAACAAACACCACGCTGTGCACATGAGCACGTTACCTGGGAGACGGACATGGAGATGTGGAAGAACTTGCCCCTGCCTCCTTGTGGAATGGCGCGGGTGAAGAAGAGCTTCAACCCATCTTTGGAAAACAGAGGCCTCTCATTCTGCAGACGCGGAGAAGATTATTTTAAGGCGTTTAAATCCACAACCCATAGAAATATAACCTCCACCAAAGGGGTTGGACGCAAAATGATACAGGTCATACTTTACACAGGTAGACACTACAGGTAGTACCTGTCTGTGGAGCCATCCTTCACTCTCATCCTCGTGTTTCTGGAGAAACAGGTTTCAAAATCAAGTAACGTAAAGCGCACACACACACACACACACGCACACAGCATACACACCTTTGTGCAGACCCCCGTTGTGGCCTCGCACAGCGTGAGTATAGAGATGTTCTGGGCTCTGTTCAGCCAGTTGATGGCCAGTTTGGTGGTGGTGGCCCATCTCACCATGGTTACATAATACTCACTGACAAACACAGACAAAAGTTTTCCGTCTTACTTCACTTGCGCATTATGATGTCATTTCTAAAGCGGATGAAACATAAATGATATCCTTTTGATTGAAATTGAGATATTAGAGCGGCTTAGAATGAGCCACGGCGACGGAGGGATTAAAAATCTGATGGAGGGATTAAACTTTAGCAAAAGAGCCTCTCCGGAGAAATAATATTCTTACAGGACACAAAGGAAATTAAAGTAGGTGGCATCAGAAAAGGAATACATTAAGAGAGATTACCCACACGAGAGGAGATATGAATGTAAATCAGATCCACAAAACAATGCATGTGGTGCCACGTTTGCAGAGCGTGTCGTGGTGGGTTGGAGGTTTGCGATGCTCACCCCATCCGGGGATCGTCGGGTCTCCTCATCTCGATCGTGTGAAGAGGGCCGTTAAGGTTCACAACGTAGAGAGTGATAACTGGGTTCTCCTCGCCGGCCTGAACGGGGAGAGGAACGAGGGGACGACGTGAACATCGAGGGTCTGAGAGAGAATATCCAATCCGGAGGGGTTCGAGTGTGCACCTTAGGGTAGTGGTACTCTTTCCCCACTGGGTACGGGGTGCCCGTGAACATGGGCAGCTCCATCCTGGGCACCAGGCTGTCATTGATGGTGGCGTATGCTAGCCTGGCACCATCTGGAGACCACCAATGGGCAATGTGGGACTGGAAGATCTCCTCTGGAAGAGCGAGAACAACACCAGCATCAATCATCGTGGCAGGAAATGGAAAGAACTCGCAGAGCAGAAACACGCATTAATCATAATGCTGCAGGCCAATGGAATCATTGTGCTGCTGCTCATTGGGGTTGGATATTAAGAGATGTGCAGCACGCTGCAGCGTCGGTACTCGTCTCTGTTTTCTGTTCACACAAACACTTTAAATCAGTCTTGAATGAATGTGGCCGATTGTTGATGATTTATGGATGTGAAGATGAGCAGTTTTTCCTGATAGCAAAAAGACGTCTGTTTGAAATTGACAAAACCTACTGTAGCCGGCGTATGACGCCAGCTCATCAAAGCATTTAAACAATATATACGAATGAATGTTGATATAATTCCCCCCCATCAAAGGACAATAACACTTCTAGCACCAGGCCGGAGGGGCAATCCGCTGCACTATATCGCCCGACCAGTTGGCCATGTTTGCATTGACTCAGGAACTCTCTCTCAGACCCACACAGAACAACAGAACAACACACCAGCGCTCGGCTCATAAATCACAGCGGCCTCTAACAGCCCCCTCGACCGAAATAGAACTCGGCCAGAATTCCTAGAAACGAACCAAACGGCAATTTCTCCCCATGTGCCACTGCAACGTGTAGTTCACCATGTGACCGGGGCTGTTGGCTTATCGCTGCCTTCGTGTGTGTGTGTGTGTCAGCGAGGAGCTCACGTCGACTCATTTCACACAGAAGCCCCCTGAGAGCCTCAGTGTGCAGGTGTGTGTGTGTTTAAAATGATGTTCCAATCGCACACGCTCTTGCTCTCACACAGGGGCAATAACGGGCGGGGGGTCGGGGGGGGGGGGTTAATCCCAGTCCTCCATCGCACACAAACTCCTCTGTCAACACACAATGCCTTATTGAGCCACGATGCAAACGAAGGCTCAGTGAGGGAACCTGTCTGACGACATGAGACAGTCCCATTTATTGCTACAGCGAGCCACCGGCTACATTCACGGACGCCTTTTGCAATTAAAATTGCATTATTGCCGTTTGTGGGACCGGATGCTTGCTTCTGGGAATTAGCAGACATCAACTACCAATTAGCATTTTAATTAACCGTGCACGTCTGGTGGAATGACTTGATAAGCAGTGTGTCCCCCCCCCCCCCCCGTGCAGATGCCTGTGTACATTTGTTTTCTAATGCAATCCTGCTGAAGTGATCCCGTCACTGCCGAACAAGGCTAAAGCTACGATACCTCATCGGGATAAATGGGCTTCATGGTTGCATTCAGGCCTGCCGGCGGAGCTCCGTGGGGGAGGACTGGATCACACCGTCTGACGACAGGACATGACAGGACATGACAGGCATTATGCTGCATTTGAAAAATGTGAAAAAGCCTAAAAAGACGTCCCGCTGCCCGCTGCCCGCTGGCCTCTCCAGAAGCAGCTTAAAAAGCTCCTCCGCGTGGAGCGGAACCGTCGGAGCGGCCCGGGCCGGGGGGACGCCGGGGGTCACCTTGGCCCGGTGGAGGAGATAGTTGAGTTTCTAGAACGATCCCGATACGTGTGCAGTGACAAAGGAACGTGCACGGACAAAAGGGAGAGGAACTAAGGGAGCGTAAGTGAACCACTTTTGACGAGCCAGCACTCATTTTCATTTTTCTGAAGTGATGAAATTGTATCTCTTTCTTTCTCCAGTGACGACTACCAAGGTGAGCTGTTCTCCTTCCCGCCGCACGGACTACATTATTCACTGGATAAAGGACATTATTAATGCATGAGAGTCAAGTGGCGAAGTAATGAATGCAGATACAGGCAGACGGAACTAATGAGAAACTGAAAAGAAACCTTGCTGGTGGCATTTAGCTCATTTCCTGCAATTAGAAGGAATATTAAAATAATATGTGCCTATTACACGAGCAATAAGCAACAAGGAATATGTATGAACAAAAAGGATCAGGTACACACGGGGGACAAGCATGTGTCCCCCGTGTGTCCAACAGAGGGCAGCAGTCTCACGTTCCACAACCGTCAAGCAGAGACATGCAGCTTTATTGGGACTACTCCCCCCCCCCCCCCCCGGCGTCCTGGACACAAGAGCCTGCAGTCCACCCTCCTAATCACATGCAACAACTGCATCAAACCACCTCAAGACCAAGTCCTAACTGCACCCTGACTCCAGATGAAGGAGTCACTCGTTTGGTTGGATGACGTGCCGCTCTGGTTTCCCTCACGAGGCGCTGCGTGCACGTCGGGGGAACAGCAGCTGCTATAAATACTGAGGTGAGACTGCAGGTGATAATCACGCGTGAGATTCAGCTCGGCGTCTCCAGCGTCTTTGTGGCGCCTTGGTGATGCGTCAGTGGAAGATGATGCAGGAATAAATGGTTTATTAAAAGCACACCACGTAGGTATTGTCCCCACTGGACTCTGTCGTTCCATGTTTGTTGTCTAAATGGACTAATGGGGGGCGTTGTTTTGTTGAAGGAGAAGGCCGGGCAATCGCTCACCGCCAATACACGTCCTGTGCACGTTGTTACTTTAAGTGCCCGACGTCGGAAAGGACCCTAGAGATGAAAACAAAGAATCGATCCGGTCTGTTGGTTTTCCGTCATGTGGCTCGGAAGACGACGGCGGGAAAAGTTGGTTGTTGTCAAAGTTCAGCATGGCTCAGTTTTAGCAAAAACATTGTTCAATATGAATGACTCACGCACACATTTAAGCGCCAGAAGTCTGTTTACCAGGAAAATCAGTATCTCACAAAGACTGATTATGACAGAAATAGATGTCGGTGTCCCCGGGTGTCTATCTAACACAGCGGCATTACCTTCATTTCCCGCGGAGAGACTTTTTGTCACATTCTCCCGGCAATGTCACTTAAAAAAAAGTTTCCCGAAAGCCATTTCCAACTGTGTGTCTGGCATCACTTTTCAGCTTGTTTTCACAAGCAAAACGAAAAAACAACATTCTCGGTCCTGTTTAATAATCTCTCTCTTCCCGGGCGCACATTGTGTTGATTATGTGGCGCCCGCGGGCCCCTCAGGCTCCGCCACCAACAGGAGCGATAAACAGACACGAGGCTGCGAACAAGCCTCCCCGATGCAAACAGTCATCTAACCAAACATCTACCGGGGGGGAGCGAACACGACTCGAATCAAAGCCACTCCAGCTTCTTATCTCGCCGCACCAGAGCACCGCGAACAGCTGTTTCCCGGGGCTGCGCGGCGCCGCAGGACGCGTCAGCATCAACGCAGCCGGCAGACGACACCACACTGGAGACTCTCCCCGAGGCCTTTTGGGCGGTTACACACCGCCGACGGGGTCATTTCGTTTCTGTCTCCCCTGCGTGCGCACACCAAACGCACACGCGCATGGATTAAGACAGCGGATGTTCCAGCCGGGGAGATTATTTGCCAACCTTTCACCCCCCCGAGCATCAAATCTGCTGCGCAGCGGCAGCCAGCGCTTAAGACCTCGTTTCCCGTCTGCGGTGTAACCCTCGGTGTGACCTCGGTCACTGGCGTCCGAAATGCTCGTCCTCGCAGGCGTCGCAGGGATGAATGTAAACATTGCACAACCGCTGCGTCGAAGCCAAATCTATTTACAGGGATTTATGAGTGACTTTTAGCTTATTAGCAAAAAACAAACCAATAATAGCGGTCTAAAAAAGTCTTATGTGCATTCAATTAAAGATGTCATTGCTGTTGATTCTACTTTAGCATTCATTAGGTTTGAGCCAATTCCATCAAGCACAGCAGCCAATATCACCACGAATCAACACCTTAAAAACACTTTTCCCATCATATGATCCTTTTTAAGATACTTAAAATGACGTCTGATATTTCTGCATGAACGTGAGTTGAATAAGTCAACATGAGATGAAAACAGGCAAACAAACAGCGTAGATAAGCAGCAGATTTTCCACTACAGACTCTCAACCTCACTGGAACTTCTGAAGCTGGTTCTGTGTTTTATATCCTCAGTAAAAGATTTATCCCACTATAATGCTGAGTGTAAATTACCACGCTTTCCGCAGCACATCAACGCAAGTCGGAGGGGTTAGACGCTGTGAAAGCGCTCTGATGAACGTTTAAACGTCTTGGATAACGGAAGCTGCTCTTGAAGGACGGACGTGGCGCTAAGTGGAAGAGGAAACAACCGCGCGGCGCATCGGTGACCTCAGAGGACCCAACGGGTCGCAGCGTCGGACGGACATGTATCGTTTCAACGATCTCACCCGAGGATTAACGTCTGGCTGCATGTCCGCTCTACGTCCATCTATGTCTATGCGCCTGCCGCGTGAGTGTTCACGGCGAAGCGGCGGCTCACAGCGAGCGGATTGCCGGCGTACCTTCGTACAGCCAATCGCTGAGCCCGTTGAAGATAACGCCCTCCTTGCCAGTAGACACCAGGCGAATGGAACGGTTGTCAACCCTGGAGCGATAGTAGATGTTGTTCTCGAAGACAAAGATCTGCATGAGCCAGAGAGGGAGGGAGGGAGAGGGAGGGAGGGGAGAGGGAGGGAGTACGGCATGTTAGCGGGAAACAATCTTTAGACCAACTATCTGAAATCCTACAACAAAACGGCCATCCAGGAAAGCATTTGATCCCTTCACGTTGATCCCCACTCATTAAGGTGGATGAGCTGTTACGTTATTATCTGGTATTTACACCTGGGCGCTATCGCGGCTGAAATCAACCCCCGGGGGGGGTCAAAACGCCCACATGCACTGTGCTTTCTTACCTGTCACACACAAGACGGAGCACATTTCCACAATGGCTCCTTTTTTATTGGAGGGACGCCGACGATTTGACAAAAGGAAGAAAAAAAAAAAAAATAGGAGAAACGTGTCTTTTCATTTTCTGAAAAGATGGTTCTGAAAAGACCGCGGGACCAAATTCTAACTTTGATGCTCTCCCCTGCAGGCCGGGGAGGGTTCTCAAGATAACGGAAGGTCAACTCTTTCATTACAGGGAATAATAGATCATCAGCACCCAGGGTGAGCGCGATAGGGCGGGTGGCTCCCGGGGGCCAGAATTCTAAAATGTTACTACCTCAACGCCGTGCTGAAATCCATCTCAGGCTATTACATGGAAGGCTTCGCTCAGGAGCTCACGGATTAGGGAACGTGTGGGCCTCACGGTTATCAGTTTGGGAAGGATTCCGCTAGAAGATATTCATACGGAGAAGTCTAAATGTTGGTAAATCCAACGCTGAAGCTGCCAACGGTGTTTATTAACTTCTTTCTACACTGTGAAATGGATCAAAATGACATTAAGAATCTATCCCATCTACCCATTCAACACTCTTCGATCTTTCTTGTTCTTTTAAAGGTGAAACAGACTCCGTCCCGAGCTGGGGGTCCGTGTGGTTCGGGGCCCACTTTGGAGTCCCCGTATAGGAGCTAGAACTCCGGCAACGATTGGCATGATCAGAATATTCACACTAAATTGTAGGAAACTGTGGAGAACACGGCTGCGCTGCTGAGACCTCGCCGGCACAAAGAGAAAATTTGATTGAACCTTTTCCCCTCTGAGGCAGACGAACACGCCTCCCGGCTGCAGAGGAAGTGCAATCATTGCACTTACTGGGGGCGTTTCTGGCATTAAGCATATTTATCAGAAAAGCTGGTTACAAAGTGGCAATTTGCACCTTCAAAGACTTGAGTGTAGTGAGTGCGGAAGGTCAAAACAAAAAGTTCCTATCAAAATGCATCGTGGGAAGTCGATAAGTTGAAAAATCCGGCGTGCGCATGCGGATGTGCTCGTCCTCCAGGGGGAAACCACGCGACACGTACCCAGACGCGTGACGGCGGACGTCTCCCTGACCTCCACCTCCCACACAGAGGACATCTGAACCTTCGGGGGGGAAAGCAGCTGCGGGCTCAGTTTCACGCTGACACAATCCGCCTGATGGACGTGAAACCACTCGGTGACTAACGGGGAGAAACTCCCGGCCGTATCAGTCTAGCGACTGCGTTAATTAATCCACTGAGGAGATAACAGGTAATTAATAGCATTGTGCTGAAGAACGTTATCACTTACATTCTGTCTGCGCCGCAAACCAACAGACTGGAGCTCATTAATGCGCTGACAAGATCGACCGCGACGACGGGAGGCGGAAAATGACTCATCGAGGAAGAACTGCGGAGGAGCGTCGCGTGTCGATGGCGTTCAACTTGAAATGCGTTCGGAAAGAGATCTCTGAGGGGAGGAGGATTTTGCGCTTTCGAGGAGTGAAATGTGTCGCGTGGCCTCTGAAATATGACGGTAACATGTCGCGTGTGTCGGGTTTCTGTGCAGTGGATCCATCACACAAAGTGGACCAGTGAGAACATCGGGCACCGACTTCACCTTCTACTCTTCTGAGCAGCTTTCTTGTGTTCACTCCTGAATTATCTCTCTTTGTAATTTGACAAGGGACACCTAAATGCACCATTCATTTGGTTTTAGGCACTTGACCCACCAGCTTCCTTCATCTCGCTAAACATCCCCATTGCCATTTGTACAGATCTGCCCCAAAAAGTACCTGCTCTAATCAACAATACATTTTTCTGTTAATGTTGTGATAGACAGCCAAATAAAATGAAAATCAATTAATGCAGGTTTAAACATAACATACCTTCTACACCTTATGTCATTACATTAGGGGCCACTCTAAATCCCCCTAAATCATTTATACCATCTTCCATTAACTTTTAAAGCCACACTAAAAGGCACTGCATGCGAACCGTTTGAAGATACTTTACGCGATATTTTGACTTCAGGGGACATTTCTTACCAGTTGCTGGTCCTGGGGTCCCCAGCCCGCATACTGCAGCTGGGCGTTTCTGACCTCTGGGGGGTTCAAGTTCCAAGTTGCCCTGCGGTAAACAAATGCAGTCAGACAGAAGCGCAGACGCACGTCTGCAGGAGAAGAACAAGCATCCATTAAAACGCCCCGTCACAAAGTGCGGCGCAGGGCAGGCGGCAGGATTAGAGGTGCCGCTGCATCTTTGTCTGGACCGGAGGATGAACGAGGTCATTAGCCGCGGTGCTCGTTTGTTCTTTCTTTGCGCTGTTGCACATCACCACCAGGGGGCAGCGCACAAATAGACTGGAGTGTGAGATGCCGTGACCTTGTGTGGGTGTGATCTAAAAAAAAAAAGGTGAATAAGAGGTGTCCACTGACTGGGCAAAACGGACGTGGCCGAGCGTTTCGGTTCACCAACAGCTAAAAGTTTCGGCTTCTTGAAAATGTGTGTCGTGCTTTTGTTGCTCTTGAACTGACTTTTTCGGCAACTTTTAACAGAAACTAATGAAGATCGGGGAGGTGAAATCGCAGAAGCGAGCGACTCGTTTAAGCTCCGGTCGCGCATGTTCCTTCCTTCACACAGAGCATCCAGACGTCCCGGCAAAGCCATCGTCCCCTGCCACCCCGAGACCACCCATTCCCCATTAACCCTTTCACCTCGCGGGACGCCGCGCACACAATTGGAAGCCAACAGCTCAGTTGAGTTTCCCCAGGTGCTCCGCGGGAGGGAAGCTCTTGCAGCGGGTGGGAACGAGTTGCTCAGGCAGCAAGGTCAGGTGACACGCTTCAGGACGAGATAACGGAATTCAATATTACGGGAAGCACGCTGGCTTAAGGGCTACTTACGGAGTATCCAGACTGCAGATGATGTAGAAGGCCGTGTAGGAATGCTGGTACACCTGGAAAAATGGGTGGCATCACATCACACAGACGATTTGTTGTAAATATATATATATATATATTTAGACAGAAGACATGAGTGTACGTTCAACCACACCTCAGAGAAAAACTAAATTATTGCGTTTTACAATTCATCCAGTTCACCTTGTGTGCGTCACAAATGTATTCTATCACTGCCCCCCCCCCCCACCGGCCGAGGGGTTTGTTTGTGTTGCTTCCTCCATCGCTGCAGTTCCGCTCGCTTGTGCCGGCCCGCATCATCGGTGACAGGCAGCGGCGTGCGACAGGCCTTCACAGCCCGCCATGATTACTTTCGCCTCACCCCCCACCTTCGATGCACCCCCCCCCACCCCACTCCATTTGGAGGTGGCTGACATATTTGGCTGTCAGTTTGCTAATTCAAAAAGCAAGCAAAAGGAATGAGAAGCTCACCGGTGCAACGTTGTAGGCCAGCAGCACATGCTTCATGTCAGGAGACACTTCGTACTTGCTGGCTTTGTACATTTCCTGGTAAGCAAAAGGCAGATGTAAGACGGAAGGGGGAGATAAAAAAAAAAAAAAAAGAGGAGACCTTTCACCATGCGTGTTATTTTTTCATTAAACCAGTCCTTAAACGACTGCCTTTGACGGATTGCTCGGCTCCCGCAGCAAATGGGACTTGCATTAATCTTTGCACCGGGACATAATGTTGTGTGTCGTCACCCGGGGAGCCGACGCTACATCTCCATCTCGCCGTGACCCGTCATACCGGCGCCTTCAGCTGTAACCACGAGGTTCACGCCGCACAGCAATCAAGCCCCCGTAATAAAAGAAGAGCTCTGGGTGCTTTGATTTGCTGACACGATGAGAAAAGTTTTAATGGGATTCACAGGCGGCCGCGCTCGGTCCGTCTGTCCCGCGATCGTGGAAAGTGAGGAGAGATGGAAAGGCGGGAAAAGACTTACAAACTTCTTGTTGTGCACCAGGACGGCCTTTTCGTCAGTGTCGACGTTGAACTTGACGACGTCGCCTCCACGATCGCGGTATAATAGCTCATTACCTGCGAGTAAAGGGAGAGAAGTGGAGCATTTTTATTTCACCCGCCGTGTAATAGTGGATGCAAAAGTCCGCAGACATACAACAAAACCACACAAACGTACATAATTACACTGAAAATGACTGAGAAAACCACCAAAGACACTTTTTAATCATCACACTTCCTTTAAAAAAGGCATATTAAATTAGGACTGATGGAAGGTTTCAATGATTAGTCAGCTATAAGTATAGATATTTGATTTTTGGGGAATGTCTGTTCCATGGAGTTACTTTCAGCACTGTAAGGGAATTGACATGTCTCGTTCTCAGAGGACGGGAGAGGGACGCTTTAGCCCAAAAGGTAAAAAGGCCGGCTTTAACAAACAGTCCCTGAGACTCTCACCTCTCTGCGGATGCACAGCTTTCAGTGGAAAAAGGCGTCCGCCGCGTTCGGGCCCCTGGAGGAGCCGCTTGACGGGAGCCATTGTTTGAAAGACGTACGAGAGTTCACGCAGCTCCTCCTCCGTCAGCCTTTTATCGGCGAAGGATGCGCTTCATACGGCAACCATCATAACCCGGCCGCGCTCCCGCGTCTCGCCGCTTTGCCGTTCCGTTTGGGCGCACGAGCGAGGGCCCCCATTCGGCGAAGGCAATTAGAACCCGGAGATTGTTATGCAGAAGTGAACTCCAATCTGCCGGCATATCTAATTGGCCATTAGAGGTGACAAAATGACCATCACAACAGCTTTAATTCAGAACGTGCGGGGAAGACATTTTGGATCGGCGTGGCCAAACGGCCCCTCGACAGCTTCCGCCTGCTGGCTGAAAACCAGCGGCATGCTAACAACAAGGGCAGAAAACCAGGGTGATACATAAAAGATTCATTTTTTTTCAATGCGCTCCATTATCTTGGTTCCGACTGTTTGGCATCTTGATAAAACGGCTCGACTCTCGTGCACGAAATGGTAATCGCGGACAACGGGGCTCGAATGCGTGAGGAAGAATCGCTGTTCAGAGAGTGACCGGCCTTTATTTTTTGCATCGTGACTCTGTTTCCGCAGTCGGGCTTCGTTTTTGAAGTCAAGAGACCTGCGTCTCTACAAGGCGTCTTCTTTTTTCCCCCATCTTTATTCCTCGCTGATCTCCTTCATCCAAAAAGGCCCCCGAGACGCCTCCGACGCCCCTCTGATCGGCAAATCCTTCCCATCGCTGCCCCTTCATGTGCCCTCCTGCTGGGTTAAATCATTTTAGACCCCCTCTCACCTCGCCAACCTTTTGTTTTCGGCTCTTCCAAAAGGCCCGAGAGCCCTCCGTCCCGTCACAGTACTGCGGGCGGCACATCTTCCCTTCAATCCATCTCCTTTCCTTCCCCTCTACTTTAAGGCGCTGTGCATTGGCCCCACGGCGCCGTTTCCTGCTCTGATCCATACGGCTCCGTGCCAGTACGGCTTGTTAATACAGCGCCCTGCCCTGGGCACAGCGCTCACCCGGCCTCCGTCCAGCCAGGCAGAGGGAGGAGAGGGAGATTCAAGAGACGCCAGAACGCCGGAACGTCTCGACTGAGACAAAAAGGACGATTTAACAATTGGACTGCGTGGATTTCTTTTGCTGCAACAAAATCTACAAAACCGCCTTTTATCTGGAAAACGGATAAAGAGTTTCTTGAAGTCACGTCCTTTATCACGTTCTGTGATCTACTGATCTTTAGTTCCTGTTGAGACGGTTGAAGAGACTCCGAGGCAGCGATGTGGTATTCCTCGAAAAAGCACTTTCTGATAGAAAAAGTTGTAAGAAGCTGCTGGGATGGATCGGATCTGTCCTCCTTCACCTTCAGAGCCCGTCGGTAAGAGCGCTGCTCTGTCCTCAGGACTCCAGATCTTATAAAGAGACACAAGCGACCAGGGGAAGAATTATGGCGCCTGTCTTCAGTAACAGCGTCCTAAATCTTTACCACCCATCGGATTACATTTGCCGTGAAATATAGCTTCATAAAACATTCAGTAGGAGTTTTAATTAAAAATCTCCCTCTAATACATTTCTAGTAATTTGGTTTCATTTGCAGACGGTTCTTGAAAGGGAATTTCCACATGACACCACCTGTGGGTGTTTCTCCGATGGGGCCAAACCGCACAGCCTTTGAATAATATTTCGGAGCAACTTAATGCAAATAGATGAAGAGAGGAGCCAAACGTTTCAAGTGTGAACCTGCTGACCAACCATGAGACCGACCGGTTCTCACAGCGGCGGTCATTTGTGTTCATCGGGAACGCGCGGGAACGCCGATCGGCGCGTGCACGCCGCTTTCACTACTCTGGCTCCTGAGTCCATCGTTACCATTGGGTTTCACGCTGTTTAGCTTCTGGATTTTTATTTTTTGGGGGTTTATTTAGACGTTTCAAGGCAGCAGGGAGCCGAGCTAAAGTCTAATCTTGAAAGAGCAACTATTGACAGGGGCTCCGTCCCACCGGCGCGATGTTCAAAGGGCGGCGCACCTTCCAACGAGACCCTCAACCTCAGGGTCCTGGAAACCCGCCGGCTTCAAAAGCAGGATACCTCTTTAATAAAGATGACTGCAATACGTTTGATGTTCCATCCTCCAGAAGTGGAAAAACTGCCGCAAAAACCTTGAGATTCACTCCTTGTTGGGTGCAGCGGAGAACAATGTGACACAGATAAAATCCCCTTTGACATGAAGCAATGCACACAGGACACCTGACGTCAACTTTGGAAACCTTTTTTAAAAACTTGTACCCTCTAAATTCATGTGTAAGGTACCACAAATGCTAAAAACATCTAATTAGCCGGTAATATAGGCGCATTTAAGAAGCATCATGGAGAAATGACTTGTGGCCCTGCTGTGATAACATCATGGAGCCCCACGGCCCATTCTCAATAATAATAATTACAATTATAATCATATTTACGACAGTAAGATCATGCTTTAAATGTCTCCCAGAAGTCCATTGCCCCTGGAAGCAGTAGAGTAGATCATTTGAAACGAATTAAGTCCCTAGAAACTCACCTTGCCCGTCTGATTCTGCGTTCCTTCCAAGATGTCCCCCAAGGGAGCACGCAAGTCTTCTCAGACACCCTCCATCAACCAGCTGAACCACCCGTAACCTCAATTTGCAATTAATCCTTAAGCCCTTGTGTCATCGTTGATTTGACTCACTGCATCAGAGGTGACGGTCGCTTCCTCAGTGTCTGTCAGCTGATCATAAATTCACACCCCAAGCAGTCCGCGAGTCGCCTCGGCCGCCGTCAGCCGCTTAAGAATCATCCCGCTCATAGAAATGTAGGATAAGGATCGTGACATTCAGCATCACATCACTGATCAGACTCTTATTTGGACCGACGGAAAACAGAGAGATGAGTCCAAACACGCAGGTGTTCCAGTGGCCTCGCTGGACGAACAACTCTGTAGTTCCACCGTCAATAATTAGTAGACAAATGGAAATAATGACTAGTTAGGTGTGGCAGCATAATCTAATCAGTATAATTAGCAATTTATATCTTAAAGGGCGGGTTAAGATTTCATTTGTCAATCTTTAATTTCACACCGTCTGATGGAAGCTCCCGAGTCGCAGCCTCCAGTTTCATTACCCGATGAGCTGGTGAGTGAGATTCCTTTATGGGAAGAGGGAAACAGGCCAATCTGGGCCAATGTGCCCCTTTTCCAAGAATTAAAATGAATTCATGCATTATATTTAATTAATACAAGTCTTTCACAAATTAAATTAAATTTCCTTCATTTGAAGATGTTCTCTTTCTCTTTACTCACTTTCCCAACGAAGAGGATTAAATGATCGCCAGCATGTGAGTGAGAGCTCCCATTCTTCTCCTTCTCCCCTTCTAAATTTTGGGACCTTGGACCTCTGAGTCACATTTTCTCAAAAGATTCATTGCCTCTTTAATAAGGCCACTGACTGCGGACTCCTCACTGACCCCCCCCCCCCCAGTTGCCCCAGCAGGAGCAACTAGTGGTCAGCTACAAGCAGCAGGTTAGGCTAACGGCGAATGGCACCACCGGTTGCTTAAGCTCTTCTCATATATAATACGTTACATTTAATATTTTATAATGCAAATGAAACGAGCATCGACACAACAGGGTGCATTTCAAAGGTCACTCCCAAGCGTTTGTGGAACCACTAACAACATGATCCAGGGGGCCTCTTGCTGTGAAGGGAGGCCCCCCGCTGCCCTCCTGCTGTGTTCCACAAACAGCTGAGCGGGGCCGTCTCATGCGACGGTGAATCCAAAGGACCGTAAGTCCATTTCACGCCTTGGATGTGAACCGCCGTGTGCAGGAGGTGTTATGGGGATGTGGAATGTAGACACATTTACTGGATAACAGTGTTGGACCCGGGAAACCACAAGTATATCACATCCACGATACGGGGAAGATAAGGCGTGTTCGTAGCTGCTGTCAGGAGGACAAAATGTGACTTCCCCCGTTGTGTGTCTCTGTGTGTGAGCGTGGTGGCGTTCTAATTGACACCTTCTCCGCAGGCGCAAACCGAGCACAATTGATGTGTTTTAGGCGGGTTTGCTTGTTACAGCGATGTCGGACTGCGGTCCCGTGGGACCGAACTGCCAGCATGCAGAACATAACAAAAAAAGCATGAAAGTACACCGCCGCTGTAATAAAACCAGCCAGAGATGAAAGAAATAGCGTGCGAAAATAATGAAATGAATGAGACTGTTCAGCATTAACCAGCACGAATGCCAACTAACAAAATAACCTTAATTAGTTCGATAATTAGTCCCGGAAGCTTGCAGGAGAGTGTGGGGCTGCGATTTAAACATGCAGCCATTTGAAGGCTACATGCAGAAAGGCTATTTTAAAACCCTGCAGCATCGCCAGTAAAGGCCATGAGACGTCGTGTCTTCTGTTTTGGCCCTTTGACCCCCACAACTGACTGCAGACGAGCCACCGTGTAGCGTTTTAGTGCGACGTGCCGGAAGAAACTGAAAATTAAAAACGAACCTTTCTTTAGGGCGTCATCACCTGAGAATGAACAGCTTGTAAATGTCACCCTGGAATGAGACATTTATAAGTACATTTCCTCGGCATGCATGTTCAGCTTCACCGAACCCGGGCGCTACATCGCCACTGAATGCCGACAAAATCCAGTTACAGTAGAAACAGGCGGTGCAGTAAAACCTGGAGCTAAGATGACAAGATAACAGCGGAATTTACTCCCCATCAATGTTTTGATCAAATGTGTTTTTGTTTGATTTTGCACAATGTGAAGCCGCTGCTTCTCCATGAGAGGGAGAGATTACAATAATGAAAACTAATTATCACTTTCCTTCCCGTCTATCCGGGGGAAGGAAGATTCTAGTTTTGGCAAGATTCTTAAGGCAGACAAAACTCGAGGGACATTTTTTTTTTTTTGGGCTTCTCAAAACTTGGATCAAAGATGACATTCAGCTCCTCAGATGTTGCCTCCACGTTAGCAGCAGTTAGACTGGTGAATCTGCCGAGAGACACAAAAAGAAAAACGTAGAATTCAAAAAAACCTGCGTCTCCTCTCGGGCGTCAGATGCCTTTTCCCTCGATTCCCTCCGTGGGAATTAACGCTCGACGACGGCGGTATATTGTGACAGCTTGATTCTATCAAAAGACGAGTTGTCGCGCCACTTCCGCAGTGGTTGAAAGGGATGACAAAACGCGAGCTTGTGCCAGGACCCCCCCCCCTCCACCCAACCCCCACCCAACCGATTTAGCTCCACTCTGCGCTTTGCCGCAGAACGCCATCTCAAAAAAGCGACGTCGGCAGCGGGCTGCCTGGAATAATGTTGTCATTTTACAAAAGCTGATTGCCTGTGACATTGAACGAACGCTGCGCGCTAAAAGTGAGCGTGAGGGGCTAATCAGCTCCGTCTCATTGGTAAGAAGAAGGAGCGCGGAGCTCCATTAACAAAAGGGCCTCCACATCATTACTCGTGTTGCGTGTCGCAGGAGCGGAGCTGTGCAGAGTCAATAAGGGACAACCGGCTAATCATCGGCAAAGTGACGGCTCTGTGCGCCCATTAGAGGCGAGCCGGCAGAGGAGGTTGTGCGTCACCCAGGAGATGATCCCGACGCACAAAAACGGACACCCCCCCCACGGGCCCCCCGCTCTTATCTAAACGACTTTCACGAGTCCCCCATTTTAAGGGGGCGCCAATCGGTCGGCTCGCTCTGCAAATCGCTCTGCTTTGGCGTGCTTAACAAACATCAACGAGGACGAGAGGCGTCCCGGGAGGAAGGCGGGCCATTAAAAACGGGCGAGCAGCTGCTCTCCGAGAGGCAGCGGCGTTTCCCACGGGGGCTGGCTTCACCTTGGCGGTGTGTGCGGATGTTGTTGTTGTTGTTTGATCCAGATGGAATAGTTAAAAAAAAAAAAAAAAAAAGGCATATGTGAGACATCAGCGGCGGCGCGCTGGGGAGGCGTGTGGCCGCCGCCTCGACATGATTGGACTGCTGATGCAGAGTGCAGGCCGGGGTCGTTCACGCCGACCGAGCGCAGAATCGTTTCTCTGTCCCGTGGAAAGACTGAGTGTGATGAAGACCAGTTAAATGATGCGTCTGTGTTCCCAGATCTCAACTCACCGAGCACAATGTGATCACAGACACAGAGGATAAAACCCAAATGATGCAAATGATCCAATAGAACCTGAGGGAGGGTTTAGAGTCCCTGCAACCAGCATGGGGATTGGCTAACGAGCACCTAATAATACAACATATCCGAGTTAATGCTGTTGGACAGGACATGAGGAAGCAATTTCTACCGGTAAAAATAGCCAATGTATGATCATTAAGGATCCTTGAGGTTATATTCAGTCTGTCTCCGGGGATTTGATTGATCGATGGAGACAGCCTGGGGAAGGGAAATCATAAAACTGGTCAAAATTAGATTTACAAAATTTAATTTCGATCCCGAAGCAGCCGCACTGCAAGGCCGAGACCGTCCTGGAAGCAGGCAGGTTGGTCTGGTGAAGACGGCGCGGTACCGAAGTCGGAATAATCAGCTGATGGATCACTAGCTCCTTCTCTCCTTCTTGTCAGCGGCGTATAATGATGCACTAAAAATACCTCCAGATCAAGGAATGAACTGCCAACAGCACAAAAAGGAGGCGATGAACGAGCGCACTGCTTTCTGATGGCAAATCTGGTTTCATGGCGGCTTCAGCAGCTCTTTGGATTATTACAAAGCCCTTTTCTCCACACATCCGTCTTCCCTCTGAGCATCTTAGAAAAAAAAGGCTTTGCGTTAAGGGAATATCTCAAATAAAAAAATAACCGCAATTTACGACGCTCATCACATGTAATCCAGCCGCTAACAGAAATATGCCCCTAATCTCCATTGAGCGGAGAACAAAACAGATGTTCCCCTCCAGATGTGTACGACGCTGCCACTGGTCGGGATGCTCACCGAGGCTCGCCCACGTGTTATTGATTTGCTCGCCGTACAGATAGGAGCGGAGGGACGTCTCGCCCTGAAGCCCACGCGGGGGCGGGGGGGGGGCGGACAGGGACCTAAACCCCCCCCCGGAACCCACCACGCCGACTTCCTGTCACGGACAAAACAAACGCGGGTTTTCAGCTTTCTAAATCGCAGTGAGCAACAGACTTCAGGATATGGGACGTAACAGCTGCTGAGAGTCACCTCGGAGGCTGTGATTGGAGGAGACAGCTACGTTGTGCACCAGAGAATAAAGAACGCGCTTCATTAATCCTTCGGCTGCACAGATGCCTCACGTCTCGGAGGCTGTGATCGTTCTATTCAGACGCGTCAGGTTGCGTCGCGTCGCTGTTTTACCTTGATAGCAAAAATAAAGTAGATCGCTTCATCTCACGGGCTCCCTGCGGTGCAGTCGGCGTTTACACTGTCGCAGCGACCGCTGTTAAAAGGAACACGTGTTTGAAATCGGTTGTGATGAATTGTAACAATAACAGCATCAACACGCCGTCATTGATCACAGGGGGGGGGGGGAGGAACCGGGGCCGTGGCTGCAGGTAATTTGGTAGGTATTGAAGCATATGGAATAATCCTTTGGCGTGATGTCAGACATCTAGGACACAAACACACACACACACACACACACACACACACACACAAACTGCAACACTCAGCTTTGCAAGAGACAGGAGAGAAAAATGGCGAAACGAAAACGACGAAAATAAAATTAAAAACTAAAAACGCTTTAAAAAAAAAAAATATGTAGGATCCTATCCATAATGTCCCAAACTGAGCCTGTGAGGGGACCAAACACCTCCAGTGGACGTCCGTCCACGGTGAGGCCTCAGGCGATTAACTGCGGAGCTCTGCCTTATTGCTGCAGCATGAAAAAAAAAAAAGAAAAATGCTCCCACCATTAATCACTTGGACACAAAAACACGGGAAAGTGTGTTCCAGTTTAAAGACACTGGTTACCCTGCAAGCGGAGAGGATCAGATAGGAGGAGTACGTCCAACATCCCCCTCTCTCGCGGCGTGAAACATAACGATATCTTGTTCCGGCGAACAAGAACATTCGAAAGCAGCATTTGGTTTTCTCGCGTTACTTACTGCTTATCCACTTGGCGTGGGGGTCGTGCACCTTGAAGTCTTTTCTAAAGAGGTCCGCGACAGTCACCTTGCCCTTCAGAGCCAGGTGGTCATCTTCCCCTGCGGAGGAAAGAATGCAGGGTGAGCGGTCACACGACACCTACATGTCCAGCTGACAGTCCGTCACATCGTCTCAGCGGGGCTTTTTTTTTTATTTTAAACGGTGGCTTTTAAGAATAAAATGGTAGCTGAGAAAGGAAAATAACAAAGCAGCGCCTCCCACGGGGCTTTGATCAAGACGAGCCGCGCTTGTGATCGTCCCGCCGGGGCGAGCGCGTCTGAAGCAGAAGCCTTCCCGCTGTTTCACTTCAGCCTAATTTCATCCATCAATAGCTCATCGTATCGTCTCCTGCTAATTCACGTGACTCGTTTCACCTCCAGATCCACATGGCGGGGGGGGGGACGAAAAAAGCCAAAGACGAAACCCCAGGAGCCTCTTTGTGCAAAAAACATGCTGACAAACCTCTGCACAGGTCCACACTGAGGAAACCCAGATGATGATGAGGATGATGATGGACAAATCGGTTTGGAAAGAGGATCATATTTTAGCAGCGGGACTATCTTCCTAAGGTGTGATGTTTAATACCTCTGCTAAACCTGCTGCAGCTGTCGTTTTATATTATATTTTAACGTGAGCCAACGCTCCTTTCGGCTGCAACGTCACCGAGAACACCAGCAGGAGGCCACGCAGCGTCCTGGCCGCTTTGTGATTATTTCCAGTCACAAACAAATTGGGAGAGAAATGATGCAGCATTGTACGAAAGTGGAGAATAAGCGTTTCTTCACGCTCTCCTCTTCCCAAGGTTGAATAGGCTTCCGTGGCACTTTGTCCGTCAGAAACCCAAAGAATAAAAGTGCTTTCCCGGGCGACTTTGACGATGTTTTTTGGATGTTCGGTGGAGGCAAAACTTCTGGAACCGAACATTGAAAAAGACCAAAGTGGCGTTCTGAATGTTTCAGCTGGAAATGAAATAGAATTTTCACAGCAGACACTTGGAAAATGCCTCCCTGCAACACGGCTTGGTAGCCTGGTAAAAGCTCAGCCGGTGTGTTCGCTCCACGTAGGCAAAGCATCGCCTCTAATACATGAACGACTACGCGGAGGACACGCGCCACTCGTCACGTGGCTGCCCGCTGATTTGTACAATGTCAATTTGAAGGCTTTTTTTCCTTGGAGAGGAGGATGTTTGCTGAACACATCTATGATCCCAGGAGTTGAATCTTATCGCATGCACGTCCTCCTTTATTGTTAAAGCAAGCAGGCGGTCAGAGCAGCGATTTATAGACGGAGAGAACAAAATGAACGGCTCACTGCAGTCTATCAAAGCGGTTTGAGTTTGAATACCAAACAGACATCGGGAACAGAAAAAAAAAGGCTTTGAACAAGGTTGGAGAGACGGATGGATTAACCTGCTTAGCCGTGGCGTGTTGGTCTAATGACAGCACAATGCTCACAAAGCAAAGATAAGGAAAAGTCACGACGTTTGATCAAACCGCGGCTCAATAGAAGATTACTTTGATCCGTGCGTCACAGCCGGGGGAGGAATCATCTTTAAGGAGCAGCCGGATGGACGAGGGGGGGGAGGGGGGGGGGGAGAGTCAGGCGGAGTCACAGGGACTCGCTGGACGAAGGGAGGAAGAAAACGTGTCATTTAGCGAGAGGGTTCCTGGCTGCTTTAGCACCACTGAACCGGAATGAAGAGCTGCAAATGTTTCCCTGGCAAAGCTTAACTGAGACCCCCGCCGCCCTGAACGCAAGCAGACGCACGCTTTGATCCGCGGGTCACAGCCGGGGGAGGAATCGTCTTTAAAGAGCAGCCGGATGGACGAGGGGGGAGTTCAGACAGGGTCTGGGAACGCGACGCGACGCTGAACGTCTTCATCTGGTCATGTTTACGTCTTACACATTAACACACCGTATCTGCCTTTGATCAATGAGAGATCTCAGTATAAGATATACGAGAGAACCTTAAGGCAAACCATGACAAAGCAACAGCAGAAGAAATAGAAAGGCCACACAAAAGAAATATACATTACGATTGTCTCATTCTATATTTGTTTTCTAGAGAATTAATTACTTTTTATTTCCTACATTGTACCAGTGATTATCTCTCTAATTATACATTACGGCCTCTTACATTCATCATTACCCGGATGTCCTGATGTCCAAAGGGATTAGTCCAGTGTAGACGTGGTTCGGCTGAAAAAGAACTGCACTGGCTGAAAATTGTTTTTTTTTTAAACAAATTAAGTAGTACTATTACTAATACTTCTATTATCTTTTTCCTTTTAAAAAAATCCTCTATCAGCGATGTCATCGATCTCGTTCCCCTATTGAAGCAGTGCAAGTCCGTGTAAGATCATCGGTCTCTCAAGGTTACGGGAAGATAACTTTTTTTTGTCAGTCCTTCTTTTATTTCCATCAATCCAAGCGGTTTGAAATTGCAAGAGCTCCACAATGACTTGCATCATCCTCCCCAACTCGCGCGCCAGCTGTGAGCGAACACGGCGCCGTGCATCGAGCGCGACAGATGGACGGCCGCCGCCTTGATTCCCGGTTCCTCCCCGATTTCATCACGGGGGGGACAAAAACACCTTTGAAGGCATCTGCTCGCGGGCTCACTTGAGTTTTGAGCGTGATTATCCGTCACCAGAGTGCGACTACAGACTGCGACGAGACAAAGCAGTGCACACGAGTTGCAGCCGGGTGTCGGCCCGGCGAGGCTCGGAGGGGATAAATGGTGATTTTATAAATCAGTCACGATGGCCAGATTCTACCGAGGTCACGGGAGAAATTATACACATGAGAATTTACATAAAAAATGATTATCTTTATATATTTATATATAGCACAATCCCTTGAAGGGAAATCCGTGTGCTGTAGTTAAGTATGTCTTTATCTGACAATTGCAGGGCGCTGTGATCAAAGGCAGGAACTTAGAATGAGTGTGAATAAAGCCGAAGCGTTGGGCCCAGCAGGGTCATGTGCTAATGGGACACTCTCTCGTTTCAGCACCACAGAGCTTTGATCAAACAGCGAACCCCCAAATCTGAAAGACAATTTGAGGGACAGTGAAATGTGGTAAGTCAGCGGTATTGGCTGCAAAGGAAAGGGTAATTTAATTATACTGTACTTTTGCTAGTCAAGTCATTGTAAAATTGTGTATTCATGACCTGAAAAAGAGGCCATTACATTTTTAATGGACAGATTTTTGACGAATTTTTTGTCTTTATTTTACACCACTTAGCGACCCATCATCATATCCTAATCTAATGAAATCAATTAGAGCATCCCTTTTTCAACAATGATCAAGTGAGATAGAAAATGAAATTCAATCAAAGCAACACAAAAACTGTACAAATAAATATGAAAATATGAATAAATGTAAAAAAGGATGCTTTAATTATTTTTTGCATCGGACAACTTTGTATTCTTGAGATCTCTTCAATAATAAAATAATGGAATAGAACAGTCAGAGCCTGCAGGTGATCAGAAACCGGTATTATATAATGTTCATTATACATACGATATGAACCTCATTATTTATCTCAAATATAATCAAAACCAGACTAAGATTAAAAAGGGGGATAGCGGTGAGCATCGGCGTACGACGCATCGTTTAAAGCCAAAGACGTAACCATGAGAGGAACAACCTCTGCGGCTGCGTGCATTCAGCTTCCACAAAACAAGCTAATAAATAAAACATGTTATCAAAGCTGTCAGTCAGCCGGATCTCCTTCAGTCAGAGAAACACCTGAACAACAACCGTGCACGACCGGCCCGGTCGTATCGACGCGGGGAACGGGCCGGCGTGTTAGCGATACGCAGCTATCAGTAACAGCAGACACAGGTTTCCAGAGTGTGTGTGTGTGTGTGTGTGTGTGTGTGTGTGTGTGCGCGAGAGAACAAAGTGGTTGTCAGGACCCGTTAGAAACTGTCTGGCCTGTCTGGCATCCATCAACAAACCGTCTTAACGGAGTGGAAATAACATGCTATCTCATAACTCCTCACATGCTGCCGTTAGCACTTTCAGGTGCCCTTGTTTCCAATGTGATGCACCTTCATGTGTCAAATCAGTTCATAATAGGGTTTTTTTTTCTCGGAAAAACTGCGCTATTTAGCATTCTATTAAGAAAAATTGTAACTTTCAATTTCAATAATGATTGTTATTAAATTTCTTATATCCTATTACCTTAAAAAATCTTCTCGTTCAATCTAAATCAAGATTCATATTTCTTTAATGCGGTATATAAATATAAGTGTCGAAACCAGTGTTTAATATCCAGCAGCTCAGTCGTGTTGACTATTTTAGTCACAATCATACAAACAACTAAGATTTGGGGTTCGTGTTTGGGGAAGCCACTTTATCACACTGACATGAAAATATTCCCAAAAGCTTCCTTTATTTACCCGCGATCCAAAGATGTGGGACACCAGTCCAACATCTAGTATGACTTCAGTCATTAAAGCAAGAGGTGCTGCAGCTGGAAAAGGGATGACGTTCCAAATACGCTTCCTCACCGCCCAACAAATACTCTCATATGTACTTCAAAACCCACCGGCATTCCAGGGCTATTAAAACAGCTTCTACTCCTCGGGGGGAAAAAAAGTCCCTCTAGATTGTGGGACTTTGCGGGAGGGATTTGCTCTCATTCAGCCCCAAAGAGCATTAGTGGCCCCGCTGATGTTGGGCGATAAAGCCCGGCTCGCAGTCAGCCTTCCATTTCCTCCCAAAGGGTTAGGATGGGGTTGAGGTGGGTGGTGCACATCACGGGGGGGCGGGGGGGGGCACACTAAAGCACCAGGGCTTCACACAAGGACGAGGTTGTCCTGGCGAGGTGAAAGTCTCTCGCACAGCTTTTAAACTTGGTTTAAATCTCCGGAGGAACAGGAATCGAGAAAGTGTTTTCACTAACATTTTCTTGTGTATTTTCTGTGCTGGCTGTCCAATATTCAATATACATAACAACACATTTAAGGGCCAGATTTTTCTCGAATAAACCAAATTAAATTTGACTCTGTAGCATCCGGGGATTCAATTAACGGTTCCATCCGGAACACAACAACCCCGAGAAGGAGTTGACTCAAACAAGGCGCCGTCCTTGAGGACCGACGGGAGGAGCTGCAGCGTCCTGAAGCTCATCTCAGTTGGCAGGGCAACCCAATTAATCCACGGTGACTTCCAGAGGTGCATCTTATGAGGCCAGAGCGTATTCTAATTTAAAACACCAAATATCCTGCAGAAACAGCTCATTTTAATGGGGGTCCCGCATTTCCGACTAGGTGGCGAGCTGCAGGCTGGAGATGCCACCTGCCCGCCTTGTTTGCCAGAGGCGCATTAAACAGCGCCGGATCATCAGAGTCCACAGCAAACGCCCCGGGGGCAAGAACAGGAACACGTCGCCGCCGGGAGGAGGCGGCGCCGCGTTTCAGGCCGACACCTGACCCCCCCCCCCCGCGCTGAGGTCCACTGCGCTGATACTTCATTCTAAATCCGCAAGGATTATGTAGAAAGGCACAGCATTCGAATTTGGTTTCTAGTGGCGACCGCTTCGTTACTACGGCCTCCTCGGAAACGACAGGCGCAACGTGTCTCAGGCTGAAGTCATAAACTAAGCAACGGTGAATTATAGAGCGCACACACACACACGCTGGCAGTTTTATTCACTGATTTGGCAGCACATTAAAAGCATATCCAGGAGCTTCATGGGACTGAATACAAACAGATGGCCTTTTGATTAAACCTTCGTGTAAATGTGCCAACAGAAAAGCCTCAAGGTCACCCTCAACTGAAACTAAGATGCCTTCAAAGTAACGAAAGAAACTTGTAGAACTCAAGAGGAGTGTGTGTGCTGAGAAAAGGCCGACTAAGGGAGACATATGGGGTGGGGGGAGGCTTAAGAAGGAGGCGATGTTGCGGAAGCCGACTCAAATGAGGTTCACCGACCTTCACTAAACGCGCCCGTTACAGCGAGGAAGCGGGTCCGGGCGGCCGGGACATTACAGCCGCGGGGTGGTGGGGGTTCAGTGACACGTTTGTTTGCACAGCTTCTGGAGGGATCGATCGTGAAGCCTCGTGGGCTCATGTCCGTGCATAATAAAAGGCGTGCGGGTACTGTAGGGAGACCTCCCCCCCTCCCCCCCTCCCCGTGGCGTTTACCTGGCGTCAACAGGATGACGGAGGTGACGATCAGCGAGCAGATGACCAGAATGACAAGGAGGGCGATCGCTATTCCCTTCCAGTTCCTCTGCGGAGGGTTACTGCCCACCAGCTCCTGCAGAGAGACACAGAGAGGGGGGGGGGGGGAGACACAGTCAGAAACAGTGAGGAAAGAAAATCAGGGCGCGACGAGGACGGAATGAAAAAAAACACTTGAAACGATCAAGACGGTCGACGTGAGAAGAAAAGGAGAGAAAGAGAGAACAGAGACGGGGAAGGAGCGCTGGAGGTGTCAGTCAAGGACGAACGTGAGCCGGTCGCAGCAAACCGGGCTCTCGAGGAGACGCGGAGAATTCTAAATGAGCCCTGCGTCCGCGGCCATCGCCCGCAAAACCGATGTGACGGATAGAGCAGGAGAACCGGGACACGTGGGCTGGGTCGCACGCTCGACAAAAGCGCGGCGACAGCAGAGGGAAGAGTTGGGAAAAGGATTCAGAGTGCTAAGCTTTTTTTTCGGGGGGGGGGGATGAAGTTATTGCAATTTCATATCGTCATCGGCGATAACTCGATTCTTAAGATTGAAGACGGCACATGAATACCAAGCGAGCGGCTTATGCGAGAAAGTTAAATGAGCACAAAGTTCCCACAATACATCACTGGAACACTTGGAGACGGTCCAGTTGCCCCCCCCCCCCCCCTCTCTCCCTCCCTCGGGGGGCTGTGGGTGTCCTCCAAACCTCACAGCACCATGAGGAAAATCCCTGATTGTTTCCCGCATCGTCCAAAACCACAATCAGGTCTGCAAGCTCTGCAGAAAGAGTCCCGGGCCCGGACCAGTGCAGGATTAACAAGTTCCCCCCCTTGGTTCACAGAGGATACAAAGCGTGAAGCCCGGCACGTCCGTCCGGGACCTGCGGCTGGAGCGCTAATAAATACATTCTAAGGCTTTAATGGAGCCGAACGGCTCCGCTGTGAAGCGAACCTTTTAGTGACCCACCTCAATCGAAGGGAGCTCGAGACGTCATTAGCCAGCAGATAAGAGCAGCGGGGGGGCGATTCACCACACTGCCCATTACCCTTATTAATTACATTAGTTAGTTATAGCCTGTGACAGCCCCAAGGCCTGTGTGCTGTGTTGTGTTGTTGATGTCGGCCATTATGGATTTTCCGCCATCTTTCACAACAAACGCCCCTCACATTTGACATCTGCAGGTGAGTACTTTGCATTTCGCCGCCCCTTGGTTCATCACGCCTGTGAATGCGACGGATGCGGCGAATCCCTCGTTCAGTTGGTTCCGCTGAGCCGGGACCATTTCAGCCCCGGACTGACAAAAACACAACGTGGCGGGCGATGAGCCGACGGTCCACAAATGAGATTTATTTTTCAATCTGTGCCGAGGCATCTCTCCGGAACGATCGTTATGTTCCCAAAAACATCCTACGGGGGGGGACGGAGTGGCTCGGAGCCCGGCGCGGACGGGTGCGCTTGATGCAGAATGTGCAAAATCTGAGAAAAAAAGAAGCAGCGCGACTGCTTATGTGCAATAAGAGGATGTAAAGCGAGCATGACGAGGTGCTCAGTGTGTGTAAGACACCACAAAAGAGCGGAGGAAAATCCCCACGCTGAGCAGTGACTGTTTAGAACGCGTTCCACGAGCGGCAGATATCGCAATGGCATGCTGGGCCCGATTCCATCTACGCTCGTGTGTGTGTGTGTGTGTGTGTGTGTGTGTGTTTGAAAATGCAGAGCGACGGGCCGCCTGAAGTCCAGACGGATGGACGCACGCTGTGTAGCGAAAAGCAATTTGAATTCACTCAACCTTTCTTACTGTGGTGGGAGGAAATCTTCAGAGAGCGATATTTATCTTTCTACAGTTAGGAAGTCATTCAATGGGGAATAAAGTTTAGCGGGCCGAGCTCGGCTAACAAACACACGCAGACGGGCTCGGTTCCTCCGCGCTGTCGACCACATCCGGCACGCCGGCAGATCGGCAGCTTCTGGGACGACTGAGGAGACGTCGTCGTCAAGCGGCCTTTCCACATCGATCAGCGTCTCCGTGGGAACATATCGACATCAGAAAGAATCCCCCCACCCGCCCCAAAAAACAAAGGAAAACGATGCCGCTCCTCAGAAGAAACCCTCTTAACGAGCCAGCATTCTTGTGAGGATCCATACGTTGCTCGGGTGGAGACATAATAATAATTAGACCCTCAAATCATGGCGGGGACAGAAACCTCACGGAGAAATCACTACACTTCTTGGAAGGAACAATGACTTATTCAGCCAGAAAACCTTGCCTCACCTCCCCGATCGCGCCCCTCTGATCTGTAATTATAATAACGACTTGTCTAATCAGTCAGGCCGGATGCGTTGAAGCGATACCGGTGTGATTGCGAGTGACCATGGCGGAGGAGAGGTGGGGGGGAAAACACCACAGCCCACAGGAGGAGTAAATAAATAACGTGTTGGGAGGATTCACTGACAGGAACGCTTGAGGCGAGACCACAACATGACGGAGAGAAAGGGAAAAAAAAAAAAAGGTACAGGACACCGTCGATGGATCCAGGTCAAAGTTGAATAAAAAAAAAATATATATATATATATATATATATATATATATATATATATATATACAGATCCTGGAGCTTTCACGTCCTCAGCAGCTGTCATGCTAGAACCTGCAGAGCGTGTACCGGAATCACCAATGTTGATTCCTCCCCGAGAGCGCGATTCAACGCTGTGGCAATGAGTCAACTCGCCGCAAAGTCAGTCCGGCACTTTTCCCGAGAAGACTTTTCGCCGAGAAAACTTTTGGCCAACGAAAAAGGCTGGAAGTGTCGCTCGCTGGATGCGGAAACAGCAGATCTTCATTTTGTCCCGATCCCCCTTGTTAATATTCACATTTCTTTGGTCGGCACCGAAGAAGCTTTCCATCGTGTCAGAAATATTTAATGAAAAGTGTGTGAATTCTTCCCCTTTGAGAAAACACTGCAGACTGGCGCCGCGACATGAAAGGCATTCAGTGGCTTCAGCTAATTCAAATTCAGCCGCCCACAATTTCACTAACAGGGGCAGAGCAGCTCGGCGTAATACGGAGAGCCACACAAAGGAAGACCGGGGGGACGGCGATTCCATTTTAGTGTCTTTTTATGAGAACTCTGCAGCGGAAGGTAAAAGATTGAATTATAAATCATATTTTCCCAGCGGAGGGCCTTTTGTGCGGCCTGCACCTCGCGCTCCAGACACCTTCGGCCATAAAGGATCCCGGCCATTCTTGATACAATTTCCCTTTGCAAATTGCGTCGGGCACAACGTCGTGCAGTTCGCGTGTCCTTTCATGGGACTGATGCAAATTAGGATCAACTGACACAAGGTTTTAATTATGTGGCTTAAGGACATAAATCTGATGTAGACTTTTATTAGGACCTTTTGGAGAAGAAATCAAAGAAAAACCAGAGGAGCATGTTGGTGAATGAGGTCCGTTGGTGCTCAAACATCAACACTTTTATATATCTTCTATATATTTATAGAATGGACTTTAATTACAGTTTACAGACTAGCAAACATTTTTTAGCCTAATCCTTAACATGTCAAGCATTGACTCCCAAAAGCTTTACGTTTCCACCAGCGATATACCTTTTTTCTGTGTTTGAACTATTATTTTCGCGTATGGGATCTAAGGCCAAAAATAAAATTGTAATAAATGTCTCACTATGATGGAGAAAGGAAGGTATCCATTTGGACTTCCCTGACAGAGGGCCGTGCAGCGTGAGTAATGCTCCATTCGCGCCACTTTTATGAGACGCTAAACTGGAAACGAAAGGGTTTGCCATCTCCCAATGGCGCTTTAATTAATAGCTCAAACTGAAAGATGCATGTGCGCTGTGCGCTCTCGCCGAGGATGAAATGATAGTGCCTCCGAGCTTCAGTATTAGTAATGGTAGAGGTCATTATTTCTGATTCTCAATGAACACTACTAGAGATGAAGCATGCACATTCCCCTTCGGTTCAACTACATAATGCAGACAGTCAACAGTCTTACTTAAAATACCACGCTGGCGTTGGGAATGGGCCGAAACGCACGATACTGGGGGAGGACGGAAGAGAACGGGGGACTTCTAGACAGACAGAAAAGCACCGCGCGGAGGCACAGAGAAGGGAATCAAACCGCAGCGGGTTTCTCTCTGCTGGTGTTAAAGCAACAGAACGCGCGTGAGCGAGATATATTCCGGAGACGAGCGCTCGCTTCGACAGACGCAGGGTGGAGTGATGGAGTGTGTAACTCGATCACTCCCCAACAGCAGATGAAAATGATAAAGTAATTGGAGCGGCGTCTCCCAGCGCGGCAGGTCGGATGTTTGTCTGATCACTTGGATTTGAAAAAAAAAAAAAAAAAAAAAGATCATTGATCGTTGATTCTTTTCAGTCGACTGGCCGGGATTAATAATCACACAAACATATTCCATGCGTGTGGTTTTTAATGACATCGGCTTCTCGTTCTCCTCAGTGGTGTCATTTCAGCCCGTTTTCAAAGTGCAGAGATGTGATTGCATTCCTCAAATAGAGGGATTTGGAGGCTTTGCTTCTTTTATCCTTCTCAAATGAACTTCATTTTTCAGCAGATTATTCTCAAATCCAAACACTGTGATTGTCTAAGTGGTTCAACGCACAGACGGTTTTCCTAATGCACACTTTTCCGTGAGACTTTGAGTGAAAGATCTCCAAACGAAGCGCCGGGTTCTGCTCTCTGCTCCACAGGTCGATGGACCTCGATGCGAAGACAAACCCAATTGGACCATTTCTTTGTCATCACACAACATGGAGCAGCAGCAGTCCATTAACAAGCTGTCTTGTTTGTTGCCCACGGCAGGATGACCAATTTCCAACAGGCAAATATCTGTGTGTGTGAGAGAGAAAGTGAGAGGTTCTTGGGCATCTTCCACCTGGTTTGCTTGATTTGCGAGGGAATCTCTTCCAGTCCATTAGAGCGATGGTGGGGGGGGCGCCACCGCCGGCTGACCCCTCTCTGCAGAGTTTGCACTAAATCACATCTCTGGGAAATAGCCCATAATAGCCCCCCCGCCAGAGGATGACTGTTTGTGAGAGTCAAATAC